GACCTCCGTGATGTATGGCGGCGCTGGTTGACCTAGACCACGAGGCATACACTGGGGAATTGGTAGGGTCGGCTACTCAGCAACAAACAGCGTTTGTAGGGGAGAAATCCACTACAATACTCCCCCTTCCCTCCAGGCGGCGTAGGAGACTTGCTGTCTGCAGGGTTGCTTAGCACATGTGATGCAGAACGGGCGGTGCATGCCTCATGTGAGACAACGGCGATGGCGTGGATGAGCCGGTCGCTGGATACAACTGTCTATATACACACTATCTGTGGGAGAAGAGAGGGAGAAAAAGGGTGTGTGGAGGCGATGAATTTTGTGCTTCCCTCACGGCAGGTACAGAGTCGTCAGATGCGCCTGCTGGGGTGTGTGGGCCTGGGTCAGGAGCAGGGGCTGCGTCAGCAGAAGCGGAAGGGGTTACTGCTGGGCCGGGGTCGGCGTCTGAGGCAGGACGGGTGTGCTGGGGTCGGTAGGACGTGGTGCTTGGGGCAGGAAGAGGAGCTGGTGTCTGCTTAGAGTAGCAGAGCTGCTCTAGGGTGTCTAACCTGTGGTGTAGAGACAGTAGTTGTAGAGCCGATGAGAGCTGCTTCTGCGTGGATAAGCCAGTCTTCCATGTTGCTTGAAGACTGGGAGCGTGATCAGTTTCTCCTCCATCCTGTGTGAGTGCGAATCTCCGGGGGTCACCATTATGAGGTATAGATGTTTGGTGTTCACTCAGGATGGGTTGGAGAAAGGAAACTCACAATGTGCTCTCCATATACATGTTGTATTGGATGTACAATGCAGCTTGGTGCTGGGAAGGCAGCATGGTTACAAGCGTGATGTAGAGAGAGCTGGTTGGTGAGGACGCTCAGAGAAGGACAGCTTGTGGGTCGCCATGCTCGCCGGCGGGAGAGAGGACCACCAGGCAGGCGGAAGAGGAGCGAGGGCCGCAAGGCAGCGGCAGAGGAGGGGGTGTTGCTGTCTGCGGCTGTAGGTAGAAAGAGACAGGTCACCACGAGTTCAGGTCTTAAATAGTGGGGGTTGGCGTGGCTTAGTAGTTGACCCCCGCTCCGTGATGTTTGGCGGCGCTGGTTGACCTAGACCACGAGGCACACACTGGGGAATTGGTGGGGTCGGCTACTCAGCGACAAACAGCGTTTGTAGGGGAGAAATCCACTACAACACTGTATTTTGCAGGGTGTGGTTAAAAATGTCATTGCTTACATGGCGCTCGCCTCCTGTCCGGTAGGCGGAGCTGGTGCCGCCTCCCGGGTGGGGGTTAGAGCGGGTGGAGGGTGCACTGCTGCCCCTGGCCCTGTGTCGGCACACTTGCTTCCACTACCCTCCCCCTGAGTATAACTCATGTACACCCGTCCCCGTTCTTCCTTGACTCCTCCCTCTTCTGTTTCAAGTCCTGCAGGAGCTTCTTGTGCTGTTCCCTCTGCATTACCGTGCGATCTGGGTGAATGAATACATCCCGAAATGCCTCGCTCCTTGCTATGATTTTTGCCTGCCGAATAACCTGCAAATTCTCTTCCCCGCTCTCTAGTGTGATCCTGAGAGGGCGAGGCTTATCCCCCTGCTTTTGTCCCAGCCTCCTCACATCCTGAGGGGTTGAAGGAATCTTCAGAACCTCTGTACAAATATTTTGTAACTGCATCTTATCGTGTGTTACTTTGTGGGGTACGAGATGTTTGGTTCACACTCAGGATGGGATAGAGAAAGGAAACTCACAATGTGCTCTCTGTTTACATATTGTATTGGAAGTACAGTGCAGCTTGGTGCTGGGAAGTGGCAGCGTGGTTACAAGCGTGATGTAGAGAGAGCTGGTGGGTGAGGATGCTCAGAGGAGGACCAGCCTGTGGGTCGCCATGCTCGCCGGCGGGAGCGAGGGCCGCCAGGCAGGAGCGGAGGAGGTGGTGTTACTTGATAGACTGGCTGTAGGTAGAAAGAGAGGTAGGTCACCACGACGTCAGGTCTTATATAGCGGAGGTAGGCGTGGCTTAATAGTTGACCTCCGTGATGTATGGCGGCGCTGGTTGACCTAGACCTCGAGGCATACACTGGGGAATTCGCTGGGTCGGCTACTCAGCGACAAGCGTTTGTAGGGGAGGAATCCACTACAGTATGCTACCCTGTCCTTTTGATGTAATAGTTTTATGGTCAATACAGTACTTCAATTTCAAGAGAGAATTTTTTTTTTAGGAACCTTAAGATTGTTTTAATATTTCAGGGATTTCACTGATGTTTGACCACTTCTAAACGTAGTGACCACTTCTAAACGTAGATTCTCAATTTATCCAGATGATAATGCACTATGTGGTTGACTTTGACTCTTTATTTTTTTACCTTTATCATCTTCACCACTGGTCAGTTCGTTAGCTGCTTAGGGCTTAGGCAATCGGTCACGTCTCTGTTACGCACTTTTGGCAAGTACTGGGCAGCGCCTAACTCTCGGAAATAAGCAATATACTGTATGTCTAGGGTTCGAGCCTCGGTTGAACAGAGGTGAACAGGGTGTTATCCAGTGTGACCCTACCAAACGTCACAGGTTTCCCGGTCTCTGAGGACCTCCTGTGCTACTACTAACACAGTAACACTTCATAAACCAACCGTTTGAACTACTATTATAGTAAGCTGATAAGTGGCGAAAATGAGAACAAATGTGGCTTTACCAGTTTACCCTATCTTGTAGCAACACGGTGTCACGTGATCATTTAACATGGAAAGCCAGTTTTAGAAGATATATGATTTTACCATTACATATAAGAATTATGTCCTTATGTAGTCTAAATAAATGCTTTAATGCAGAAACTAGATTTTTTGCTCTTAAGTGTTGTGGTCAATGTGATGGCGCTACTGTAGTGGATTTCTCCCCTACAAACGCTGTTTGTCGCTGAGTTGCCGACCCCGTGAATTCCCCAGTGTATGCCTCGTGGTCTGGGTCAACCAGCGCCGCCATACATCACGGAGGTCAACTACTAAGCCACGCCTACCCCCCGCTATTTAAGACCTGACCTCGTGGTGACCTGTCTCTCTTTCTACCTACACCAACCAGCCAGCAACACCTCCTCCTCCGCCTGCCTGGCGGTCCTCGCTCCCGCCGGCGAGCATGGCGACCCACAAGCTGTCCTCCTCTGAGCACCCTCACCAACCAGCTCTCTCTACATCACGCTTGTAACCACGCTGCCTTCCCAGCACCAAGCTGCATTGTACATCCAATACAACATGTATACAGAGAGCACATTGTGAGTTTCCTTTCTCCATCCCATCCTGAGTGTGAACCAAACAACCCGTACCCCACAAATGGTGACCCCCGGAGATTCGCACTCACGCAGGATGGAGGAGAAACAGATCACGCTCCCAGTCTTCAAGCAACATGGAAGAATGGCTTACCCACGCAGAGGCAACTCTCATCGGCTCTACAGCTACTGTTTCTACACCGCAGGTTAGACACCCTAGAGCAGCTCTGCTTCTTTAGGCAGACACCAGCTCCTCTTCCTGCCCCATGCACCACGTCCTACCGACCCCAACACACCCGTCCTGCCTCAGACGCCGCCCCCGGCCCAGCAGTACCCCCTGCCGCTCATCCTGACGTGGCCCCTGCTCCTGATGCGGACCCACAAACCCCTCTTTTCTCCCTCAGGTACTTCCTGCTACTGTCCTGCACCCTGGTGCTGTTGTGGACCCAGCTGCTGTCACGAGCCCTCATCCGCTTCTGCTGACGCAGCCCCTGCTCCTGACCCAGGCCCACACACCCCAGCAGGCGCATCTGACGACTCTGTACCTGTCGCGAGTGAAGCACAACATTCATCGCCTCCACAACCCTCTTTCTCCCTCTCTTCTCCCACAGATGTTGTGTGTCTAGACAGTTGCCTCCACTAGCGGCCGGCTCATCCACGCCATCGCCGTTATGTTTCACATGAGGCATGCACCGCCCGTTTTGCCTCACATGTGCCATGCAACCCTGCAGACAACAAGTCTCCTACACCGCCTGGAGGGAAGGAGGGAGTATTGTAGTGGACTTCTCCCCTACAAACGCTGTTTGTCGCTGAGTTGCCGACCCCGTGAATTCCCCAGTGTATGCCTCGTGGTCTGGGTCAACCAGCGCCGCCATACATCACAGAGGTCAACTACTAAGCCACGCCTACCCCCCGCTATTTAAGACCTGACCTCGTGGTGACCTGTCTCTCTTCCTACCTACACCAACCAGCCAGCAACACCTCCTCCTCCTCTGCCTGCCTGGCGGTCCTCGCTCCCGCCGGCGAGCATGGCGACCCACAAGCTGTCCTCCTCTGAGCACCCTCACCAACCAGCACTCTCTACATCACGCTTGTAACCATGCTGCCTTCCCAGCACCAAGCTGCATTGTACATCCAATACAACATGTATACAGAGACCACATTGTGAGTTTCCTTTCTCCATCCCATCCTGAGTGTGAATCAAACAACCCATACCCCACACTACATTGCTGATTCTATTCCAATACAGTAATTCTTTTTAGGATCGAAGTGCAGTGATATTATCGATATCATGCTTATATTTCTCTGATGTATTTATATTATATTTTCTTGCTGTCATTCTACCAGATAAATTTCTTGTAAATGGGTATCTTCATCTTTGGCTGACTTAATAACTTACATTATATAGCATTTCTCTGTAAAATCCTGCATAGATAAAAAAACAATCTAATTTAAGATCAATATTATTTTAATTGAAGCCCATATATATATATATATATATATATATATATATATATATATATATATATATAAATGAACAATACATTTGAAATCAGTAATAATTTATAATCTTAAGACGAAAAGTCTCATGGTATCATTCCATCATGTGATTCAGTGACGTAAGGGTAGATTAATGACGTCAGAGTTACTTGAAATATTTTACTAAAGTAAATTTAAATACAATTATAATAAAAAGTGCACATAAAATGTTCATTAAGCATATATAAATCATATATTTATAATAAAAATACAGTAAAATAGGTCTGAGTCTTTGTATACATTGCCCTGTGGAATCGAGCTCACATCACAAGACAGCTGGTCGGCAAAATCGAAGTGAGGGAAGCTGTCATTCTGGTCCCAAGTTAAATACGGAAAAGCATCTCATACAACCCTCAAAATGGTAATGTATTTCAAAATTATTTAACAATAAGCAATACATGTGTATTTTACATAAAATTGTAAGTGATTAAAAGATTAAATACACAAATTGTAATGCGCAAGCCCAAAGTGACCGATGGGCTTACCAGATTCGGCTGCCAAGTCGGGGATTGAATGATTATTAAATCAACCAGTTGATTCACAGTAACCTTTATTAATATTCTTGTTTTTAAATCTAAATTGGAAGGTTCAGTATTAGGTATTGGTATTTTCATTAATATTTTTATAGATTTTGGCAGTGTTCAAGTAAGGATATGGGAAAGGTCCAATGTAATTCTGTTAAACTTCTAAGTGTAATTTAATAGGAAATGTGACTTGAAATAATGAGAGAGGATAATTATATAGGACTAACCCGCGAGCAAAATTGATTAAAAATAATTAATAAAAACGCCGGATTTTCAATGTTATATTATAGTAGACACTGTTGTAGTTTGTGAAAAATGTTAAAAAACTGATATTTTTAAAATAAATGCTACTTAACATTGGTGGTTATGAAGAACAGACCTAACCAAACAAACCTGCCTAACCTTACCTAACTTCCCCGGTATATTAAACAGAAAGAACTTAGTATGATATGGTGAAATTTGAGGCATTTTCTGGACGCGAGATGATACGGCCGCATCGGCGCTATGCAGCCCTGGCGGGTTAGTCCTATTTATTAACCTGAGAGAGTATGACTTATAAAGGTAGCTAGATGTGAGATTGGGTATTTTTTTACAAGTAGACAACCAACGAACTTAACACAACAGTTTAGGTTACGGTACATTATGTTGTTAGGTTAGGTTAGATTTGTTAGGTTAGTTTTGATTGTTTTTGGTTGTTGAACAATGTGTTGCTCAACAAAAAAATCCCTGGTTGTCCATGGAGCGTACAACACCAGACTGTACCATCGGTTGCCAACATCTGTGAAGCAGCTGACCTCTGTGGAGACCTTTAAAAATCAACTTAAGACCTTTATTTTTTTTAAGGCTTCTAATCCTGAAGCGAGTACAGTGATGGAGAGTTACAGGGTATAGGAAGTGTTGCAACTTCAGGATATACATTTTATACAGTACTGTACTAATGATTCAAGTTGAACTGTCACTTTTTGAGATCTTTTTGTAGTACAATACTGTTCAGTATGCCCGGATAATTCGCAGATTTTTAGTTTACGGTCCTCTATTATTCGGGGATGGCATCCTGGATGTACCCAAGAATGTCTGCAGGTAGTTTTAAAGTTGCTGGCATTTTTGCAACGGGAACTGGGAGCCATTCGTTCTAGAGACAGTAATTTCCTTTACCTGTATTGTAAAATAATAATATAATTAACGGTTTATTGAAAGAGCTTGGCAGCCAGAAGGCTGAAAATATACAGTTAAATAATTAGGGAATGGGTTTCGAATTACAAATAATATACAAAAACATTAGTGATATAAATAAGATATGTAATAACTAGATTGGGAAAAGCTCAAACTACAGGGCATTTCAACATAGTGACAGTGCAAGAAGTAGTATTTACTGGGAGTGAATACACTGGTTTATTACAAGTTATTGATAATTTTTACAATGGTTGGGACTGGGCTGTTCTTATAGCTATCAGTTCGTGCACGTATGGGCTGGATGCGGTTGTGGTGTCGAACAGCAATTCTCGGGCTAGGGATCTCAGGTGGTAGTAAGAGCTGGTGTCGAGGATGATGCAGAAGCTTCTTACCAAATTTGCAGATGAGGTAGTGGTGATGGTCAGTGAGAGTCGAAAGGGTCAGTGTGTTGAGCACTTCTTGATATAGTACTGTGTGTGTGTGTAGACACACATACACAAAACACATACAAATAAATAATTTAGGGAAAATCCTCTCACAAATGATCAGAAACAAATTTATTAAAAATGTGACGGTCTACCCTCAAGTATACTCCGTCTTTTATTAACAACAAAGCACGGAGTAGACTTGAGGATAGACTATCATATTTTTAATATATTTGTTTGATTATTTGTGAGAGGATTTTCCCATTATTATTTATTTGTACAGTATGTGTTTTGTGTGCGTGTGTCTTCACACACACACACACACACATATACAGTGGTCCCTCGGTTAACAAACGGTTTGATGAACGAAATTTTGGTTAGCAAATTACCTCCCATAAGGATCTTCAATTCGGTTAACGAACAAATCTTCGATTAACGAAATCTTTACGACAAACACGTTTTATTGTGAGCATCATCTGATCAGCTGATCGGCTAGTCCGCTAATACAGTAATCTGTTCTATGTTTAAATTCGTTTCCAGTGGAGTAAATATCAAGAAGGTTGTGTTCTTGAATATTTTTGTCATCCAAGCTCTGTCTACATAAAGTTTTTCAGCCAATATTTTTGGCTTGATATATGTAACTTTATTCATTTATTGAAACTCATTAACATGCACACTGTCCTAAGGGAAAAGCTGTACTTTACATGTAATCAAAATAATGTACAAAATGATTACTAAAATTTTTGTCTAGTGCAAACTATAGTATGTTTATATTCAAATTAATCACTATCTTATAAGAATTCCAGCAATGTAAATTATATTTTCCCAGGTCACTTCTATGACATTTTATAAGCAAAAAACAAAAACTCAATCTAAAGGACATAAATAAACAAATAAATACTTCACTAGACCTTCGGCACTAACTGTCAAACATGTCACTGTCACCTCCCCTTTCCCCTCTCTCCCTCCCTCCCAGCCAAGGTTTGGTGGTTATACAATAAGCTATAAGTTTTTATCTTATATATCACAGATTAAAGTTAGGAGAATATAATTTGCATTGCTGGAATCCTTGCAAGATGGTGAATAATTTGAATATAAATGTCATATATTTTGCAAAAGAGATAAAAATTAATCACCTGTATCACATTACTGTAGTGATTTAAGAGTTCTAGTGTATATGTACATACAGTATATATATATATATATATATATATATATATATATATATATATATATATATATATATATATATATATATATATATATATATATATATATATATACACAGTGGTGCCTTGGTTAACGAGCACAATTCGTTCCAGAAGGTTGCTCGTTAACCGAAAAATTTGGTAACCGAAACCATTGTTTCAATGGGTTTTTGGGTAATTGGTTCCAGCTCACCGAAAATTGCCTAAAGTCAACAAAAAAGGTAGTAAAGTAAACTTACTTTGAGGTGTGTATGTAGAAGGCTCCTGGATGATGATGAGGATGGGAACTAGAATGGGGGTGGAGGAGAATGGAGAAGAGAAAGCATTGGGGTGGAAGAGAAGTCAGCCCATGGCGCCATTTCACCCATAAAATTTTAGTTCACTTGGTGTAATTCAAGATTATTTTCTTTAAATCAACACTGCACTGCATTATATATTTTCAATATGTAAAATAAATTTCAAAATGACCAATAATTTGACTGGAAACACAGAAAAAAGCTTTTATGTTGAAGAGAGTCTGAAGCAAGATGTTACCTCCACTGAAAAGACACAGGGACTGACGCCTGTATGGTGTGTTGACAGGCTGTTTGGCGCACTAAAAACTAGTTTCCCTATACATAAATGATGTTAAATAATTGTTAAAATGACTAAAAATTTTAATGGAAAACCTTTAAAATTATTGAATAGTACAAACTTCTTGATATTTACTAAAATAGTAAGGAATTTAAGCCCTAGAACTGATTACTGTATTGGTGGACTAATACGACAGCTAGTGTGCAAGCGAAAACATGTTGAGGGGCGCTCGTAAGGAATTCGTTAATCAAGGGAATGCTCGTTAACCGAAGTTAAGAATCTTATGGAAGGTAATTCGTTAACCGAAATTTCGTTAATGGAGGAATCACGGTACAGTACATGTATATTGATTTAAGGGCGATTTAGGGGAATTTTAGGAGTGTTTCTGACTTTATGCGTTTTTTTGGTTTTACTCTGTACGTATGTACTTTTCTGTGGGTTGGAACCAATTACCCAATATTCCATTGAAATGGTGGATACGGTTAACGAAATTTTTAGTTAACGAATGACTCTGTGGAATGAATTGTGTTTGTTAACCGAGGGACCACTGTACTGTATATACAATACAGGTACAGTACTGTAAAAGAATAATTTTCCTAAGGGCAAACACAAAGGGAATATACATTTCTTTGTACACAAGTACAAATGTAACCCCCTCCCCGGTCAGCAACTGACAACTGTTATTCGCGGATTTTGTGATTCGCTTCCATTTTGAGAACCTAATCCCCCGCGAATTTGAAGGGCATGCTGTACAGTACAGCTCCTCCCCGACTTACGACCACCCGGACATACAACCGCTTCCGTCGTACCAAAATTTTGTCAAATTATGTATTTTCGAGTCCCAACGTCAGTGATTGCGCTGTGTACTGACAAATTTTTCGTTTGTAATTCGCTTTAAAATGGCTGGTAAGCTTAAAAGTGAGAGTTTTGTGGTGCTGAGAAGAAAAAGAGACACCCATTTTAGATTTTCTATGTAGTATTTAAGCATTTTCGACTTGCCACCATTTCAACTTATGACCTGGATTTGGGTCCCTAACCCAGTCGTAAGTCAGGAAGGAGCTGTACTGTATTTCTTTTTATGCAGTACAGTATGTACTCAGGTCCTTGACTTTTTAGTGCTATTGAATTCTTTAAAAGAATGGCCATTTTGAGAAACAGAAGACCAGCTATAAGCATTACTGGACAGCATTATTATAGAGTTTCTGGATAAATTTTTAAATCTTACTCCCTAATTCCATATATGTATGCTTAATCCAGTAGAGTATTTACATCTTTAGTCCTCCATAGTCTAAGGTAAATACAGGTTGACAACCCTTTATCCGAAATTCCGAAAACCGAAAGTTTTTTTAACAGGGATTAGCCCATCGGGGCCTGGGGGCCAAAATGTAAGTAATAATAATTATAATAATAATTATTCATAGTAAATAAAAAATTTAATACAATACACCCAAATAAAATAATAATGATAACAATAATAATAAAATATAATAATAAAATTAATAATAATAACAATAATACTGTAATAATAAAATAATAATAATTAAGAAATACAAGAATGAAAAAAAAATAAAAAGTGAAAAACACGACCTAGACCTAAGAATTATTATTATTATTATTATTATTATTATTATTATTATTATTATTATTATTATTATTATTATAGTTATTGTTATTATTATAGTTATTGTTATTATATTTTCGCCTCCCAGGCCCAAATGTGGGTCAGTGACCTGTGCCCAGGTGGGCTAATACACACACAAAAAAAACTAACCATTCTGTAAACCGAAAAATTCCGAATTCCGAAATGCCTCTGGCCCCAAGGATTTCGGATAAGGGATTGTCAACCTGTACTATATAATTTATGTTATTTATAGTCTGTATTATCTCTCGTGTGACTCCAGTGTAGAAGTTTAGATGTCATCGAACTTTGATAAAGTTACTCAACTCTTTATCTGTTTATCTCACCATGATCCTTTTTTTTTCTTCAAATATCAATTATTGATAGTCTTATTCTTGAAGTATCTCACCATAAAATTAAGATGTACAGAAAGACTTCACATCACTATATGTATTCTGAAATACAGCAGTTTGATTTTACAACATTAGTTTTTTGTTTTGTTTATTACTATACATCTTGAACAATAGTTGTACAGATAGGACCTGGGATAGTCCTCTTGAAATGCAAAAGTAAACTCGGACACCAAGAAGAGCCTCATTTAATCTTATTGTGCAGTTGTAGCTAACTAAATGTTATATCCTTTGAAGGATTCCTGTGTCAATAATCCGTCATGAAGCATAAAATAATCCCTGATAGGAGATAGAGTGATCCCTTGGTTAACGAATTACCTTCCATAAGATTCTTTACTTCGGTTAACGAAAAAATTTTGGTTAACGAATTCCTTACGAATTTTTTCCAAAATGTTTTCGCCTGCTTTTGCCTGCTCACCAGCTGGAGTATTAGTCCGCCAATACAGTAATCTGTTTTAGGGCTTAAATTCGTTACCATTTGAGTAATTATCAAGAAGGTTGTACTATTCAATAATTTTCCAAATCTTATATTAAAGTTTTTAGTCATTTTAACAATTATTTAACATAATTGAAGTACAGGGAACTAGTTTTTAGCACGCCAAACAGCCACTTGACTCACCCAAAATGGCGTCAGTGTGTGTCCCTGCTCAGTGGAGGAAGCATCTTGCTTGAAACTCTTGAACATAAACTATTTTTACATTTTTACAGTACAATTATTGGTCATTCTGAAGTTTATTTTACATATTGACAATATATAATGCAGTGCAGTGTTGATTTAAAGAAAATAATCTTGAATTTTACCAAGTGAACTAAAATTTTATGGTGAAATGGCAACATGAAACATGGGGTGACTTCTCTTCCACCCCAATGCCTTCTCTTCTCCCTTTTCCTTCACCCCCCATTCTAATTCCCATCATCATCAACCAGGAGCCTTCTACATGCATACCTCAAAGTAAGTGTACTTTACTGCATTTATTTTTAGTTTGTATGTAATTATTGGTGAGCTGAAACCAATTACCCAAAATCCCATTGAAACAATGGTTTCGGTTAATGAATGACCTTCTGGAACGAATTGTGTTCGTTAACCGAGGGACCACTGTACATGTACCTGAATTACCTGAAAGTGGAATTAACCCTGAAGCCCTGGGTTAGTGTGCTGCTGGCAGTATCCCCCTCTGTGGGGATAAATTGATAAAAAAAAATAAATAAGAGAAATGGCGGGAAAATAGGAGGACGTTCTGGAACGTCACCCGGGGTCTAGGGGTTAAGCATACCGGTATGCCCAATAGTGTTATCTTTCAATAGTTCATATTGCTTTTTTGGGTCAAACTTCAGGATAAAATCTGAAGGTCTCCAAGCTGTGAACTAGGGATCCACATTCTTGATAATTATGAATATTTCCTTATCTTAGTTTTTCCCGTATCATAAATTGCTTTGACCCTAGTCAGTGTGGGAACTGTGATAAATGATTAATCGTATATTATGTACTGAGCCTAACTGTACAGTACTATTAGCATTGGTTATGTATAGAGAGGCTCAAATCATGGATGGATTTGTTGTCTTCAGGAAAGGATTACTTGGTACATGGGAGCCATGTAAGATTATTTATTCTTCAACTGGTCTCTCTCTCTCTCTCTCTCTCTCTCTCTCTCTCTCTCTCTCTCTCTCTCTCTCTCTCTCTCTCTCTCTCTCTCTCTCTCTCTCTCTCTCTCTCTCTCTCTCTCTCTCTCTCTCTCTCTCTCTCTCTCTCTCTCTCTCTCTCTCTCTCTCTCTCTCTCTCTCTCTCTCTCTCTCTCTCTCTCTCTCTCTCTCTCTCTCTCTCTCTCTCTCTCTCTCTCTCTCTCTCTCTCTCTCTCTCTCTCTCTCTCTCTCTCTCTCTCTCTCTCTCTCTCTCTCTCTCTCTCTCTCTCTCTCTCTCTCTCTCTCTCTCTCTCTCTCTCTCTCTCTCTCTCTCTCTCTCTCTCTCTCTCTCTCTCTCTCTCTCTCTCTCTCTCTCTCTCTCTCTCTCTCTCTCTCTCTCTCTCTCTCTCTCTCTCTCTCTCTCTCTCTCTCTCTCTCTCTCTCTCTCTCTCTCTCTCTCTCTCTCTCTCTCTCTCTCTCTCTCTCTCTCTCTCTCTCTCTCTCTCTCTCTCTCTCTCTCTCTCTCTCTCTCTCTCTCTCTCTCTCTCTCTCTCTCTCTCTCTCTCTCTCTCTCTCTCTCTCTCTCTCTCTCTCTCTCTCTCTCTCTCTCTCTCTCTCTCTCTCTCTCTCTCTCTCTCTCTCTCTCTCTCTCTCTCTCTCTCTCTCTCTCTCTCTCTCTCTCTCTCTCTCTCTCTCTCTCTCTCTCTCTCTCTCTCTCTCTCTCTCTCTCTCTCTCTCTCTCTCTCTCTCTCTCTCTCTCTCTCTCTCTCTCTCTCTCTCTCTCTCTCTCTCTCTCTCTCTCTCTCTCTCTCTCTCTCTCTCTCTCTCTCTCTCTCTCTCTCTCTCTCTCTCTCTCTCTCTCTCTCTCTCTCTCTCTCTCTCTCTCTCTCTCTCTCTCTCTCTCTCTCTCTCTCTCTCTCTCTCTCTCTCTCTCTCTCTCTCTCTCTCTCTCTCTCTCTCTCTCTCTCTCTCTCTCTCTCTCTCTCTCTCTCTCTCTCTCTCTCTCTCTCTCTCTCTCTCTCTCTCTCTCTCTCTCTCTCTCTCTCTCTCTCTCTCTCTCTCTCTCTCTCTCTCTCTCTCTCTCTCTCTTCTCTCTCTCTCTCTCTCTCTCACAGAGCTGTTGGTGGAGCGAGGTCAAAATTTACAACTCGAAATAGTCGGCCGGAAACAAAATAAAAGTAGGGAATTGGTCCACCTAGGCACATTTGACAATGCATGATGCTTCCAATATCTTCCCAGGCCGTAGTACCGCCCTGTTTGATAGCTACCTTTACCTGATGACCTATTATTTACTTTCATTTATTGTATTTTTTCATTCTATTCGTTCTTTTCTCTTCAATAAGTGATTTTAGATGTATAGTATATAAGGACTTAGGATATGATATACAGTGGGATTTTAAACATTGTTCAGTAAGTACGGTTTGCACACACGGTATGTGTTTCGACTTAGGAACGTCCGTAGGAATGGAACTCGTACATAACCTGGGGACTGTCTGTACTAAGTTATACTTCAGCAAAGACCCGACGATGCTTCCTTATGAATCGATGAGTAAAACACAAAACCTGATCAGTTATCAAATGTGTGTAGACTTCATTTATTATCTTAAGTTATATTATATTTACTTTGCTTAAATCTTCTCTAAATATCTCTCATGAATTTCAGGCAGGTGCAATGGACAGGGCATCAAAACTGCCCAAATTGAAGGATTTTGAGTCTGAGAGTGCTCTTGGATTTGTGTGGGGAGTCTCTGGTCCAGGTAACAATACTGTACTGTATTCTATTCCTGTATTTTTATTTTGCAAGGTGAGGACAGCATGGGGAAGCAAGAATAGTGATGGAAAACCCATGGAACGTATCTCAAAGGATGAATATTCAGAGATTTATTTAAATAATGTTGAGACTGAATAAATGATGCTAATATTAATAGAAATTTAACAATCTGGGAAATTTTTGTAAGCTATACAACAAATTCCACGGGGGATGATTCATTACACTGTATATGTATCACTTGAGTTTTGTGACTTTGTGCCCAAAATTTAAGACAAAGGCAAACTGGCTTCATACAGGAGCATTTGAGTGAAAACTCTTTGTGTTCATATTTGTGTGTAAGAGATTTATGCTGATATTCATAATGAATGTCTCTGGATTGGAATATTTTTTCAATTTTCTAGAAATTACTGACAAAATGATATTAATGTGAAGATGTAAAAATCAAGTTATGCAATAGAAAACACAAATTTAATGAGAGTAAGATTAATTATAGCGTGGACAACAGCAACTTAAATGATTCTAATTAATCCCCATGTTGCTTTTTCAGTGGTGACAGCCAAGCAGATGAGTGGGTCTGCTATGTACGAGTTGGTGCGAGTTGGTCACCAGGAGCTTGTGGGCGAGATTATCAGACTAGAGGGAGACATGGCTACCATTCAGGTGTGTATTTAATTACAGTGTTAAAGTTTTGAATATTTTCTTTAGGAATCACTTTTAATCCTTTATTATGTGTGGGTGGTAACTATTATTATTTATTGATTCAGCTTTGTATAACTATTAAGCATTATTTTTTTTTATTGTAAGATTAGCCCACCAGGGCACAGGTCAGTACCCACATCAGGGTCTATGTTTAATCATCCTGAAACAAAATAGGTACAGTACAGTACAATAGGGTCGGGATATATTGTGAGATAGAGTCCAACAATGTTCGCTATAGAATACTAAATCACGATATATATATATATATATATATATATATATATATATATATATATATATATATATATATATATATATATATATATATATATATATATATATATATATATATATATATATATATATAGTTAGTATATATATATATATATATACAGTATACCTGTAATCAATGGGGAAAATAGGGTTAGGTTCTGGAGGCCAATAAAAGTGACTAAACTTGACTTAACAAGTTTATTTTCTTACTAACTAAAGCACCAATGAACACTAGACTTGGGAACAACAGACTGTTTCAATATCGATATCAAGGCACACCAGACTCAGCACCTGACGCGCCATCCCGGGAACGCCAGACTCGGCAGCAGACGCCACACTGCCACCCTCACTTGACAGTCCCACACCTACATAAACGAGCAAACCAAAAACATTAGTTTGGGGATTAACTCTTTACCATTAAGCTTTCCATTCTCTTCACTTCACTTTTCACGTCACTAGCAACCCATTTACACTCACCTTAGAAGTCGTAATCTGCAGCAGAATTGGCTACTTACTTGTCACTCACTCAAGAAGACTGAGCGGGCGAGCGTGAATGCGTGGGTGAGCAGCCACGGTGGCGCCTTTGGTGAGCAAATAACGCATTTGTTTGCCATGGCGGTACATTTGAAATATTTCCTGCCCAATTTGCCTCGCGAAATAAATAAATTTATCGCTATATATTGGAAAATGTCGATAATTTTGGTAGTTGCGATATATCCCGACCCTGATTAAAAGCCAAGAACAATATTGCTAAAATTTTCAATAAAAAGTGTAAAGAACAAAATGTTGCATTGGGAAGAGTAGTATTGCAAAGTGAGAATTGAGAAGAAATGGGAAATACAGTACAATGACATATTATGCTTCACTGATTTGGATCACAAATCTAAAGTTTTCTGGCTTAAGCCTTCTGTTAGATGGCTTAATAATAAAAGGTTGCCCCCTTGTGTATGAGGATGGCCGGCCCAAGGACCACCTAGGCGCGAATTTGTTTAAGGTGTAGAAGCTTTCACCAATACAACAGCCACACCCTAAGTTAACGAGTTGCAGGCCCCAGTGTCAAGGAATAGTCTGATAAGACCAGATAACTTGCTAACTGCACTTGCCAGATGGCTTGTAACATTACAGCTGGCTGTTTGGTCATTCTTTGTCCTCTGACAACCCTTGATTAATCAACATAGGATTGGTTATACCAACCAACTTATCCCCATCACACTATCAGAATAAAATTGGGGTTTTTGTGCAGCAATTTTCCTGGAACTCTGTCAGACCATTTGACATAAATCATACAAAGAGCTTTGGCTCTGCCAATTCACCACCTTGAGCTGTTAGCCAACCAGCATTAAATATAACGTGCTAAAGAGCAAATATTAAATCATACTAAATGTGAAACTAAAGGGAGAACACAATTCATACAACATTGATAATGGGGATGGAATTTAACTTTATTTCTAGGTATTACATTTCTGTGTTTATTGGACTTAAACATTGCTGAATCATTTTGGAGTTTGAGCCAGTGGCGGAAATTAGTTTTATAAGGCATTGATATACAGTATTGAAAAATATATATATATACTGTATTTAAATAATTTTTCCCTGATAAATGAAATTAGCAAATTCCCTGTAATGAATTGTCATTTACTGTCACATCCAGGTTTATGAGGATACCTCTGGTGTGACTGTTGGTGACCCAGTGCTGAAGACAGGAAAGCCTCTCTCTGTAGAGTTGGGACCTGGCATCATGGGTAACATCTATGATGGTATTCAGCGACCCCTACAGGAGATTTGTGATCTCACACAATCCATCTATATTCCCAAGGGTGTTTCTACACCTGCCCTCTCTCGTTCTAAGATGTGGGACTTCCAGCCAGAGCGTGGTGTCAAGGTATGAGCATGAATAAATAATTCCCCATTTTGTCATGAAGACCATAACTAGGAAATTTAAAAAGGCCTTTGCAGTATGCAGAAAAAGCATGCAGTATGTAAGAGTGCTTATTTAAACTCACTTGTAGGAAAGAGAAGCTTGTGAAGTGTAGATTTGTCAAATATGAAGCTTTTGAGAAAAGTAACTTGTGTAGTATTATGAGTATCAAGAAACTTTTTAGGTTAAAAATTGTAAGATTGGAAAGATGTGTGAAGATATCATGAGTAAAATGAATGCATGAAAATGTATAAAGATATGTACAGAAATCCTCATACTTGACTTTCATCCTGTGTTTGTTAATGATTAACAATTGTATTATCTTATTTACATAATGTAAATAAGATAATACAATTGTAAATTACATTGACTCTTGCAACATTATACCTTATGTATTTATGTAATGTCTTTCCTTGAAACATTTCCTGGTAATCTCAGGCACCATGTATGAGGAAAATGGGAAGTTTTATCAATAAGGTTGCAAAGTGAATAACAGGGAACTTGTGCCATATTTTTGTGGAAAGAAATTGTTTTTACCACAAGAACGTTCATGCTCTTTGTCTCCATGTAAAATTTTAGTTTAATTTTGGGAGTATGAAGTGATCATCCTTATACTGTACCTATAGTTTATATTACGTATTTCACAAGATTTGTAATTTTTATACCATAGGGTGTTGACTGTGCTTGGCAATAAATTGCATCATGATCAATCCTATAATTTTCAACTTTTATCATCTTTGGAATTTAGTGAGGGCATACACATTTGTCACCCAGTTTACTTTCTTTACTAAGTTCTGGGGTTTGATTCCACTCACCATTACATAAATAGTAATAGTTCTTAATTTAACTTAAATTTTGATATTATTCTACAGGTTGGAAGTCACATCACTGGAGGAGACATCTTTGGTATGGTGCATGAAAATTCAATTATTGACCACAAAGTTGTACTGCCCCCGAAAGCTCGTGGGACAGTGACCTACCTTGCTGCTCCTGGTAACTACACTGTGGATGAGACTGTGCTGGAGGTAGAGTTTGACGGGGAGAAGCACAAATACTCCATGATGCAGGTAACAGTGTCTTGTACTAGTCTATTTAACTAATTTTATTAATTAAATTGCCAGGTACATTACTAGCAAACCTATATCTTGCAGTTGTAGATTTGAAAAAATAATGAAAAATGGATTGCTGGACCTACATTTTGAGCTCTACACTAATGTAAAACATGCTTCAGTTATCAGACTTGTGGGCATAATCACTGTGCTACCTTGTAACCTCTCTTCAGTGTAGGCCACTATTGGGTGATGTAGGCTAAATTTTACTTCCAGCTATAGTTCTGCAATGATGCAGCATGGTACACTAATTAGATTTCATGTGATTGATCAGCTAATGACCACCCGGACATATGACGTAGGCTAAATTTTACTTCCAGCTATAGTTCTGCAATGATGCAGCATGGTACACTCATTAGATTTCATGTGATTGATCAGCTAATGACCACCCGGACATACGACCACCCCAGTTGTACCCAAAAAAAATTTTAATTACGTATTTTCGAGTCCCGACATTAGTGATCGCGCTGTGTACTGAAATTTTTTTCGTTTGTATTTCCCTTTAAAATGGTATATCACAAATGGAATGGCTTCCTGTGAATTGTGTTTTTTGCACTGAGGCTCATCTAAATTAAGGTAATGCCCCCTGTATATTTTTATTTCTCACTTTGTATGTAGGTCTCTCGTCATTTTTGTCGGTTTTAAATTGGATTGCTCTTTTTTTTTAATTTTATCGAAGGTAAATTTTCGTATAATGTTATGATTTTATTGTGTATCACCTGTATTTTAAAACTTTTTCAAAACTTTTTGTTTACTAGGCTCTGATGATGGAAAATGATTTTTTCGATATGTTAGTGATTAAAAGAAACCCAACTTAGTCAAGATGCTTGTGTTTTCCCTGGTTCTCCTCTTCGTTGTGAAACTACGCTTTCCACGTAACTAGTCCATTGCTGAAGTTATATATATATATATATATATATATATATATATATATATATATATATATATATATATATTATATATATATTATATATTATATATATATATATATTATATATATATTATATATATATTATATATATATATATATTATATATATATTATATATTATATATATATTATATATATATTATATTATATATATATTATATATATATTATATTATATATATATTATATATATATTATATTATATATATATTATATATATATTATATTATATATATATTATATATATACACGGCGACCCCGTCAGACAAAATTTTTTTCAAATGACGCGCGCATTTTCTATACCGAAACGTTTCCGTCCCGGGCGAAAGGGAGGGGTGGCTTGGGTCGCCTCGTGGCTACACTCACTCAGTGGAGCGCTTTGTTTGTGTTTGGCTATCGTATCCTATACTGATCGCGCTGTGAACTTTCGTTATTATTGTATTTAATTGACTTTATAATGACTGGAAAGCGTAAAAGTGAGAGTGCTGGTGGTGCTCCAAGGAAAAGGAGACAGGCAATTACTTTTGAGATGAAACTGAAGATAATAACACAGTATGAGAATGGAAAAACATTAGCAACGATCTCACGCGACCTAGGTTTCTCACACTCGACTATATCCACTATTCTGAAGGACAAGGAACGTATTCGTGAAGTAGTGAAAGGAACAACACCTATAAAGGGAACTATAATATCAAAGAAAAGACAAGGTCCTATCCACGATATGGAAAAATTATTGGTGATATGGATAGAAGACCAGATGCAGAAGCGTGTACCCTTAAGTGTTCTAACCATACAGGCTAAAGCAAGAAGCCTGTTCCAAAGCCTGAAGGAGCAGGCAGGAGATGAATGTGATCAAACCTTTACAGGAAGTCAAGGGTGGTTTGATAGATTTAAAAAACGCTACAGTCTACACAGTGTTAAGGTGAGTGGAGAGGCAGCTAGTGCCGATGTTGGTGCTGCCGAAGCTTTTAAGGAGGAGTTAGATGATGTGATTGTGGAAGGGAATTATTTGCCAGAGCAAATATTCAATGTGGATGAGACTGGATTATTGTGGAAACGCATGCCTGACCGGACATACATCCACAAAGAGGCAAAAAAAATGCCCGGATTCAAGGCATTCAAGGACAGAATTACACTTCTGTTGGGGGGGAATGTTGCTGGTTTCAAGCTAAAGCCCTTCATGATCTATCATTCAGAGAACCCCAGGGCTTTTAAACATGTCAGCAAGCACACACTGCCAGTGTTTTATCGCAGTAACAAGAAAGCCTGGATGACCCTAGTACTATTTGAGGATTGGTTCATGACTTGTTTCATTCCACGAGCCAAGGAGTATTGTCTGCAACAAAGGATTCCATTCAAGATTTTACTGATTTTGGATAATGCTCCGGGACACCCACCACACCTGGACGACATGCACCCTGATGTTAAGGTAGTGTACATGCCACCTAACACTACCTCTATCATCCAACCCATGGATCAAGGTGCTATTTCTGCCTTTAAAGCGTATTATTTACGCACGACCTTCGCTCAGGCTGTTGCTGCTACTGAAGGTGAGAAAACGCTCAGACAGTTTTGGAAGGAGTACAACATTTTGTCATGTATAAAGAACATTAGTGCAGCATGGGATCAGGTTACAAAACATTGCATGAATGGAATATGGAAGAAAATCCTGAAAAGATATGTGAACAGTTTCAAAGGATTTAATGAAAGTGAAGTTATTTTGGATATTAGTAACAAGATAGTGGAGTTAGGTAAACAGCTGGAGTTAGAAATTGATACTGAAGATGTTGGACAGTTGGTTGAAAGTGTAGCAGAAGAGCTCAGTAACGAGGATCTTATTGAACTAGATGCACAGAAAGTTGCAGAGGAAGAAGAGAGACAAAATGTAGAAGAAGAGCCTGCACCCCCCAAAAAGTTTTCAGTGAAACATATGGCAGAGGCATTTGCTACAATTAATAAAGCAATGCAAATGTTTGATGACATGGATCAAAATTATGAGCGTTATGCCAAAGTTGACAGAATGATCCAAGATTCACTTGCTTGCTACAGAGAAATTTATAATGAAAAGAAAAAGCAAACTGTGCAGTCTAAATTGGACACCTATTTCAAGAAGTCCCCCAGTACTGGCTCCTCACGCCCCACCAGTGCTGCCTCTTCACTCCCTCAAGATGATCCAATACCTTCAACCAGCAAGTTACCACAGCACATAAACCTGTCTGAAGAAAGCAACATTGATGACCCACCCAGCCCTGTCTCCTCTTCTGCTTCTTCCAATTAATATAGTCTCCATGTATCCTGTAAATAGAAAATTATGGGGGCCCTGTGTGCATTCAGCTGACTACATTTAAGGTAAGTGCTCAGTCACACTGTATCCATTCCTCATTATTTATTACTTTTACTGTACTGTATCCATTCCTCATTATTTTTTACGTTTAGTGTACTGTATTTCATTGTAGATTTTTAAAAAAAAATTGAAAAAAAAAAAAATTTTGAATTTTTTTTTTTTTTTTTTTTTTTTTTATCTATATCGGACTTACGACCATATCGGACTTACGACCTGGATTTGGGTCCCTAACCCCGTCGTAAGTCGGGGTCTAGGTGTATATAACTTCAGTAATGGACTTGTTACGTGGAAAGGGCTTTTATTTCAATAATAACTGTGCTCAATGGAGTATGCTTCTGATTTTTTCTTCAATCCATATACTTAAATCTCCATTTCTTCCATAACTCCACTTCTGCTTTGGTAAACTTTATTTGCTCTTAATGCAGTTGTAGACTGAGCACTTTCTTTAATTTTTTTTTCGATTTTTTTTCTATTCTTACTGATAGTTTTCAATGTTACTTCTGCTATCACCAATGCACGTGAAATATCCACAGACCTCTCACCTTTTTCATATCGTTTTAACACATCTAGTTTCTCGCCTAAGTTTATACATCTTCCTTTATCTTTTGAACCAGCACTACCATCTCTTGCTCATGGTGAATAGGGACACAAAAATGCCGTAAGAGGCCTGAGAAAGGTTTTCTCCTGTTCAAATGCGTGAAAACAAAAGGCCCAACCAAGCTGTGACTGTTTATATACTAGTGATGCTGGCATCACCACTCACAAGCCCAGTAGCCTCCGTGTTCGAGGCGTGTTTTTTTTATTTGGATAATACATATTGGGATTTAGTTATTATTTATATGAACATTTAATTTAATTTCATTTTTTATTCTATTTTCATATTAAATACGAATAAAATAATGGTGTAAATTGAATTGGGTCCTATATTAACCAGGGTTTTAAATATGAATCGTCGTTAGTGAAACCGTCGTTATCAGAGGCTTTCCTGTATAGAGAAGATACAATAATTAGTAGGGAGTTGTATTTGTGCAAAGAAAACTATTGTATTGAACCACCTCAACTCCAAATTTGCTTGTTATTTTGAGAAGTCATTGCACCAAACATTCCAACAATTATCACTACCATAGTTTAAACTTACTGTCTTCCATGTGGTGTTTGCAGGTGTGGCCCGTGCGTCAGCCGAGACCAGTCAGTGAGAAGCTGCATGCAAATCATCCCTTATTAACAGGCCAGCGTGTATTGGATGCTCTCTTCCCCTGTGTCTTAGGAGGAACAACAGCCATCCCAGGTGCTTTTGGCTGTGGCAAGACTTGCATTTCCCAGGCTTTGTCAAAATACTCCAACTCAAATGTCATTATTTATGTTGGATGCGGAGAACGAGGAAATGAGATGGCTGAGGTGAGTGTACTGTATTTTTTTATATACATAAGTCAGATACTCTTATTGATATCATGCTCTGCTTTTATGTCATGAAGGACTCTGACAGTATCTGATGATTCAACTTGGTTGAATATATTAAGAGGCTTTGTAAGGTAATGTGGATGTTAAGATATAAACAAATATATGTGGATGTTTCCACATCTGCTTTTCAATGCTCTCCCTGCTATTTCTGTCCTTCATACTGAATTTTATACTGTAATTAAACCCATAAAAAAGTAATGTCATGTAAATATAATATATTGAAAGGTACATGAATTTATCTATGTTCATATCAAACAGAAAAGTAATTTTGGTTGTGAAATTGGTTCATTTAAGTCGGGGTTGAAAAAAAACATGTCATTTATGACAAGACACTGATTTAAATCATATGATAATGAAATGACAAGTGTACATAAATTACATACATGTTAGAAACCATAAAAATACCTTTGAATCAAAGCTCTGTTTGAGGTTAAGTTCTCATGCAGCATTGTATTTATGTCAGGTACAGAAAATAAAACTAGAATACCCATGCTACTGCACTTGAATTTGCTTTAATAAGATAAAAATTTACATGTTGGGAGGAATTCCTCTGTTTTGAAGTCTGCTCTTAGTGATAATTGAAACCGAGAGTCGGTATTGCTATTCTCCAGATAATTTGATAAAATGGGAAACAATCAAATCACTTAACTGCCAAATTTATCCTAGTTCAAAATAATTTCTTATTAATTTTCGAGTCACAGTTGCTATTTTTAGTTATTGATTTGTTATTATGAAGGCTGAAGAGCAGTAAGAAAAGTATGTACGCAATGTGGAAATTTTTTTTTTTGACAACATTTATGACACTTCAACGTGTCAAAAATTGCAAGAGGAATCCATATGTATTCTTAAATCTTTCAGGTGTCCCATGAAAAATGAAGAAATGTAGAAAAAGGGAACTTTTGGTCAACTTGGAACATCCTATACTGTAATAGTTTATTTTTGTTCAGTTTGCTGACCATTCCTTTGCTCCAATTTATCTATAATCAAGTCTGGTATTATTTATTTTGACAAAGAATTTGGTTGGATTAGATAAGTTAGTCCCATTAATGTTTGTCCATGGGATAAAAAAAACAACAACATTTTGTAGTTCAGGTTGATGAATGACCTTAATGGAATATTTACTCAAACAGGTATTGAGAGATTTCCCCGACTTGGAATTGGAGTTGAATGGCAAGAAAGACTCTATCATGAAGCGCACATCTCTTGTTGCCAATACATCAAACATGCCTGTAGCTGCTCGAGAAGCTTCCATTTACACAGGCATTACACTCTCTGAATACTTCCGTGACATGGGTTTCCAAGTCTCCATGATGGCTGACTCTACTTCTCGTTGGGCTGAGGCTCTTCGAGAAATCTCTGGTCGATTGGCTGAGATGCCTGCCGATTCAGGCTACCCTGCATATTTAGGTGCTCGTCTGGCCTCCTTCTACGAACGTGCTGGTCGTGTTAAGTGCTTGGGCAATCCTGAACGTGAGGGTTCAGTGACCATTGTGGGGGCTGTCTCTCCTCCTGGTGGTGACTTCTCAGATCCTGTTACTTCTGCCACTCTGGGTATCGTGCAGGTGTTCTGGGGTCTCGACAAAAAGCTGGCTCAGCGTAAGCACTTCCCCTCAGTCAATTGGCTTCAGTCATACTCCAAGTACATGCGAGCTCTTGAGGAGTATTATGATGCACACTATCCAGAATTTATTTCATACAGGTTTGTGAATTTTAATTTACTGTCAGTGAATATACCTGTTACAATATGATATTGTGAATAGATATCTTAGTACAGTTAACCCTCACTTTACGCGGTCCCACATTCCGCGTTTCGACGTTTACGCGGTGCCCTGCCGGAACCCAGGATGCTCACATTCCGCGGTGCGTGTACCCCTTTATGCGGAGAGCGGCTGGCGAGCCGCGCCATTTTTGGATCCAAACCTCCCGCCATGTTGTGTAAGCGGCGCGAACATGGTGCGCACAAGGTCGCCCAGTCATCAAAACATTACCAGTTCTTCACCCGCCACCCACCACAGCCGGCCCAAGTCAGTGATAGTGATAATTATGGTGAGGATATGGACTTATATGGACTTTGGGGAGTTTGACAAAGAGGCCCTGCAAGCCTCTGTGGTGGATAGTGATACAATTGATACAAGTGACACAGGTGAGGGCCAATAATCTGCCCTCTGCCTCGGAACCAACCGCCCATCCCCGTGTGCCCAGCCATTTTTTCTACTAATGTAAGTGTTAAAAAACCTAATATTATTGATATTTCTCTTAATTATTAATTGTGTGTGCATGCCATCATAAAGTTAAGATAATATTTTTACTACAACATAGTTGTGTGTCGTCAAAAAGTGGAGTTTGGGGATCGGCCCGGACTCCATTTCAATTAATCCCATATGTTATGTTATTCACTTTACGCGGGACCCTCCGGGTTACATTAACCGCGTAAAGTGAGGGTTAACTGTACAGTATTTCATTCCATTATTGTATTGAATGTTCAGTTTACCTGTTATTTATTTTTAAGGACCAAAGTAAGGGAGATCCTTCAGGAGGAAGATGACCTGGCTGAGATTGTGCAGCTTGTTGGTAAGGCTTCCCTCTCTGATGCTGACAAGATCACACTTGAGGTGGCCAGAATTATCAAGGATGACTTCCTCCAGCAGAATTCTTACACCCCGTATGATCGTTTCTGTCCATTCTACAAGACTGTTGGAATGATGAGGAATGTCATTGCCTTCTATGATATGTCGCGACAAATTGTAAACCGCACAGCTCAAAGTGACAATAAGGTTGGTAATGTTTTTGTGTTCTGTCAAAGAAAAATTGGTGGGGTATTAAATGTTGAAGTTTTTTTTTCCAGGTAGGTATAAGTTTATTTTTCATTTCTGCACCCTAACTTTTGTTTAAGAGATTCAACAGAACTTGATATGTGTATAACCCTTAGATCAAGGAAGAAGCCTGACAGTTCTCGGCCTATTAAGTTGAATTAACTCCCCATTGGCAATTTTCTCTTTAGTAGCACAGTTAAATCCTGCTCAATATATTTTGATAAACTTGATAGTACTTTTGTTTATTTTTAAGGTCAAGGAGAGAGTTATCAGTTTAGCATCCAGTTGGGCTATGGTGCCCTATTTGCAGTGCTCCTATTATGCTACTTATACAGTAACCCTTGCACTTACGGACCTCTCAGAACTGGATTTCAGTTGGTCCAGATGACATTCGGATGTGGCAAATTCCTATCCTGTCTCTCTCTCTTATTCTGTATGCCGTGTTTATTCCCCTGCTGCTAAAATGGACCCAGTCTGCATCTCCCACCACTAGTCATAGCGCACGTCCCTCCTCAGTCTCGGTGTGTACACACCATCTTGCTACCTCTCGATTGCGCCCTTGTGTTGTTCCTCATGCCTTAAACTGTTTTTGTGCCTTGTAACTGTTGTGTAGTGATGGCACCCAAAAGGAAGTGCATGCAGCTTACTGTAGCTCAGAAGCTGGACTTGTTACAGAAGTTAGAAAGTCTGTAACGAGATGCTGTAGTGAATATGGTGTCGCTAAGCAAAGGGTGTCTGATATACAAAAAGCTAAGGGTTTCCTGCAGTCATTTGCAATGAAATATAGTCCTGATTTTTCGACCTCTAAGACGACTGTTGGAGATCGCAAGGTGTATTAAAATGAGGCAAGTTTAAACTAATGTGTATTCATATACAGTAATAACAACAATACTCTCTATAGAGAAATACACTAATACTGTACTGTATAATCATAATTATTGTTGTTGTTATTAATGTATTATCATGACTGTATTATTTAATACCATTATTATTACCCATGTAAATAAAGTTCATGTACAATATTATGATTATCGTTAACGCACCTTCATCCCCCGGTTCATCCAAACATTTGCCACATCTGGACACCCTCTCCCCCCCCTAATTGTCCAGAAGTGTGAGGGTTTACTGTATGTCCAAGAAAGCTGAATATTGATGAAATTATATACTGTATAGATATGTGGCATCAAAGAATAATGGCTAGTAAACATTGTATCATAACAAAAGATGCCATAACCTTGTCTTACAGGAATTTTATATTTTGCTTAATGCCATTGGTAGAAAATTATCATATGTGCAGAATGTGAAAGATTAAAAATTGGATTGTCTTATTATAGATAAAAAAGTTAACTAGCTCTGACAATAGACTTGTAAAGAATTTGTTGATTACTGAAGGAGATTTATATATTAAGGTACATTACAGTACGGTATATGCAAACTTTATAATGCAAAATATTCTCTACCCACAGGTTACATGGCAGATCATTCGAGACTCAATGGGCCAGATTTTGTATGAGCTGTCTTCCATGAAGTTCAAGGATACATTTAAAGAGGGAGAACTCAAAGTTAAGAAAGACTTTGATGAAATTTATGAGAACATCCAACAAGCCTTTAGGAACCTTGAAGATTAAAGGGGGAAATAAGCTAAATACTGTAGTGCATTTTTCTTTTACCAATTTTACTGATAGCTTACTTACCCAGTGATGTGTACCTTACATTCTGTTGTATAGCTCAAAAGTCATTTTGTCATTGATAAGATATACAGTATACCTGTACTCATTAACAAACATAGTTTACTATTAAGTAAGGTGCACCTCATTTTTGGGTAGATGTAAAGTTAGCAGGAGAAAGATGTCCTATGGAAGCATTATCTTTGGCCATTCCACTGCCTCAGTATTTTGTTGTGGCAGTAAAGTGTTGTGCTCGCCCTTTTGTGGATCATGTGGGCCTTGTGTAAATTTTACTTAAAAATAGTATTTATAATGTAGGGAGAGTAAATTTTTCTGTACAGTTATACAATGATATTGTTGTTAATATAAGTTACTTGTGTATAAAATCTTTCTCTTAATTTTTTAGCTAAGAAAGCGAGTATGTGACTTATATTGGGACTGGATGTTTGTTGTTAATTTCACAACTGTTGTTTAGTGGCCTAGATTATGTAGGTTTAGTTGGTGCCAGAGGAGATACACATCATGGAATGTATTGTCTGTGCACAATGAATAATTGCCAGTAAATTAGACATTCCAGACTCAACATTTGTGTATATTTGTGAAGTATATTACGAGTAAACAGATGGAAGGGATATAATGATGGGTTTTACTTAACATGCCATAATATTGCAAGTGATTGGTAGACAGGAATAAATTACTTCTTTTTAAGCCTTACCAAAATACTGTATATAATAGCTTTTCGTGTAGCCTGCCCTTAAATTTCGCAGTGTTTGGGTTTAAAAATGCTCGCGAATTTCCAAATTGGTGAATATCATTTGCCGACCGGTGGGCAGTTTTTGTACGTAAAATTTTTTTGAATTTTGTGGTATCACCAGAACCGTCAGCACTAGCACCACCTTCCTGTAGTTTTATCACAGATAAACTTCTGGCTGAGGGATGTGGCAGTGGTTAAAGTTCTCAATCCAGATGTTAAGGGCTTTCTCCATCTTCACCATAGCTCTATCCCTCACATTATGCATCTCCCTCTCTTCTTCTTGTAGCAGACTCGTGGCCACCTGCAGCAAAACTCTGGCCACTTGTAAGTTTGTCCAGCAGTTGTATCCTCTCCATGAGGGTCATGACCTTTTCTCTCTTCACTTGTTTGGGCACCTTCCCGCAGCTGGATGAAGATGGTTGAGGGCATATGGGAGCCATCACAAGCATGAGGAGCACAGTTGTTAAGAGAGCGGAGTAGCACAAGAAGGACATGTGTTTATCCCTGACTGCGGAGGATTGCGCTAATGGCTTAGCTGCCTGGGACAACACACACACTTTGTGGGATGCCACAAAACTCGCACATTCCCTGTCCCTGCCGCCAACTTTAAAAGTACCCCCAGACATTCTTGGATACCGGCACATCCAGAATATCATCAGCAAATAATTGAAGGCCGCGAATTAAAAACCCGCAAATTGTAAGGGCATGCTGTATATGGTAAAACCTTGATACACAGGACTAATTTGATGTTAAACTGCACCTTAACAACTAAGGCTTTTAAGTGCAGAACAAGTTTAGTAAAACACTATTACATCTACGTACAATAAAAAAATATGAAACATTTCTTGGTTGAAAATCAGATTGGTTGTCATCAACTTTTTTCACCGAGATAATTGTTTTGTACTATATGTAAACCACAGAATTTTTTTTATGAAGTAAAAACTGTATACTGTACAGTAGTATAAAGATAAAAAATAAGAGTGTAGGAGTATATTGTGTGTGGGAGATGGGGGGGTGATCTGGGAGGATAGTAGTGCAGGTGGGTGACGCCTTACCCCAGGATCCCATTAACATGTCTTTATGCAATTTCACCGTTATTCTCATATCATTTAGGTTCAATTGGTGCCAGGTTTATAAAATATAAAAATAATGAATTTTGCCAGAAACCCCCCTCCCCCACAATTTACACCAGGGGTGGCCAAAATGTCAATCGCGATCTGCTAGCTAGTAGATCGCAAAGCAATTTCTGGTAGATCACGAGATGGGTAGTAACGGCATAGCCCATCAACAGGGATTCTACAGGTACAGTACACACTAGTACAGGTATGCCCCGAGTTATGGAAGGGTTCCATTCCTGAAAATCTTTCTGTATTGTGAAATTCCATAACGTGGGACCATTTTTCCCATTCACTCTTATTATATAAGTTGAGATGCATTCCTACGGAAATATTTTTGCGGCCAAAAAAGTAACACAAACACATATATAAATGAAAATAGACAGTTTTAAACATACAATGATTCATTCAAGATGTAACATGATAATAAATGCACAAAAGACTCAAATTTAACTTGCCAGAAAAATTTTTTGAGTGCTGAACTCCTGCCTCTCCCTGTAGATCATCATTATCATCTGCTTCAGTTGCTGTAGTCTTGGGGGCAATTTTTTATTGTCAAGTTCCTTGTAGCTGCTCATGAGGTACTCCATGCCTTTTGCAAATTTGAGCTACATTCAAGATCTGTATCGTTAGCAGCAAAATTTTCCAAAAGTTCCTCCATAAGATTAATCCCTTTAGCCAAATGCTTTGTTGTAAACTCACAGGCAATGGTTGGAACTTACATGTCCTCTTCACCAGCAGTTCGCTCCTGTTCCATCAACATCAAATCCTCATTTGGACAGATTTTCTCTGTAAGGACTCTTAACAACTCGACCACACCATCTTGAACCACTTCCTCAAACTGCACCATTTGCCAGTGTTACAATTTCTTGTTGCATTCTGACCAGGTGTTCTTACACACACCATTCATTGTTGTCGTTTTCAGCTTATCCCAGGACTTGGCAATGTTTTCCATAGCGTTCATCCTGTTAAAATTTCTTCCCAAATTCCCTAACTGATTGTTAATCTTCCCCATCAATTGCTGCTGAATTGTTAAATGTTCTACATAAATAGTACGCCTTAAAGCTAGCAATCACACCTTGATCCACTGCTTGTAGCAAGGCAATTGTGTTCTAGGGCATATATCCCATTCTAACATTAGTAGAATGATCATTCAAAGTTAATTGGGTGGCTGGGTGCATTATCTAACAGGAGCAAAGCATTGTTGGAAATATTTCTGCTGGTATTGTACCTTTCTACTGCTGAACAAAAATAGTTTGTGAACCAATCTTGGAACAGCCTGGCAGTCATCCACATTTTCCTATTAGAATGCAATATCACTGGTAATTTAGGTTTGGTTTTGCCCTTGAAAGCCCTTTGATTTTCAGAGTGGTACACAAGCAAGGGCTTTAACTTCATATCTCCAGCAGCATTACCTTCCAACAGAAGCATTATTATTATTATTATTATTTTTTTTTTTTTTGCCCCCCAGGCCCTGGTGTGGGTCGGTGACCTGTGCCTGGGTGGGCTAATCTCCATAACAAAAATAAATAAATCAATCAAACAATCAATCCATGCCAAACGACCTAAATAATCCAGCCACTTTTTTCATGGAAACACCGAGACAATATTTTCTATTCGCGCATGATAAAGATCCAACACAATACAGAGGGGAGCAAACGCCTAAACCGCTGGACCTCATCATAACTAACAAGAAGGGTATGGTGGCCAATCTGGAACACCTAGCCCCAGTTGGCACCAGTCACTACATAACGTTGTCCTTCAGATTTAACTATTACTTGGTTCATGACAAAACCAGGTCCGGGTTTAAATATTACAAAGGAAATTATGATGGAATGAGGGAGGAGATGAGGAGTATATACTGGCCTGACTTACTAAGGAATAAGAATGCAGATGCTACACTGAACCTCATAGTCAGTAAAGTAAACCATTTGATCAATAAATGTATACCCGAGACCAAACCTAGTGCCTCCAGGAATACAAGGAGACCACTACACACGAACCATGTGGTGGTCGGCAAAGTTAAGAAGAAAACACTGGATTTAGAGACGTGGGTTAGGACAAATGATGAGGACAGGCGGATGTAGCGATGTAGCAGAGTTTCTCCCTCGTCAAACCACCTAACACATCCAGTTTTATGTCTAGTGTAATTCCTTTCTGTGATCTTTAACCATCACTGCATGCAACTGCACTTGATGGCCTCTTTCCACTAATCTTGAATAAGAATACACAGTCCGTACAATAATATAGTCCTGAACAGTGACAAAACTGAACAAAAGCTGGGGATTGAATTCAAACTAACCAAGGCTGTTGTTGTTATGGGTCTGCAACTGTGTCACCTAGAGACCACACAAAATAATTTTTACAATTTCGGTAAAAATTTTGTTTAACCCTTAAGCCCCGGGTTAGGGTGCAGCTGGCAGTAACACCCCCCCCCCAGGAATAAATCGAGGGAAAAAAAATCAGCTGTTCCAAAAATAATAAAAATATCAACAAATAAAAAAAAAATAAATAAAATGGCGGAAAAGTAGGAGGAAGTTCTAGAACGTCACCCGGGGAAAATTACCAGAATTCCGAAAGGGCAAATGTTTTGGCTGTATCCCAGGGATGCCTATACTGCCAAGTGCATTTCTTGTCCGTTGATAAAAATAAAAATTATTTTTGTTATCCATTATTGGTACAGTTGGGTCGGGATATAAAGCGACTTCATATAACGATTTTTTTTTATTGCTGCTTCCAAAATTATTGACATTTTCCTATACACAGTACAGTGGTCCCTCGGTTAAGGAGCACAATCCGTTCCAGCAGGTTGCCCGTTAACCGAAAATCTCGTTAACCAAAACCATTGTTTCAATGGGTTTTTGGGTAATTGGTTCCAGCTCACCGAAAATTGCCTCAATTCAACAAAAATTTTAGAAATTGACACTTACCTTGAGGTGTGTATGTAGAAGGCTCCTGGATGATGATGCTGATGTGAATTTGAAGTGGGAGGTGGAGGAGAAGGAAGTGGAGGTGGAAGAGAAGCATTTTACTGCTTCTTGGAAGGTGAGTCACCTTCCATGAAAATGTCAGGAACCTCTGGACTGACAAATTCTCCACCATGAACATCCTCTCTCCTTCTTGAAGTGGAAGGCTGAAGGCTAGCATCATCCTCTCTCCTTCTTGAAGTGGAAGGCAGAGGGATAGCATCTTGTTCCCTCTGCCTTTTACTGAAGAAAGTGTCAATTGTGGTCTGTGGGGCATCTCTCCTCCTCACCATTAACTTATGTTTAAAGAAGGAGACCATTGAGTCCTCAACATGACACAAAGTTAGTTCAGTTTTTTCCACATCTGGGTGCTTTGAAGCCAGTTCCCTGAACTTCTCCCAGTGGTAAATCACATCTTTCAGCTCTTTAGTTGACATATGGTCATCACTTTCAATTTCCTCCTCACCACTGTCAGCCTCCAACATCTCATCCAGTTGCTTCAAGTCATCAGGAGTAAGTTCCTGCTCATGAGACACCACAAGTTCTTCGACATCATCCTCTTCCAAGGCCCAATGATTGACCAATGGACACAATCTCCTGGTCCAACTCTGTTTCTTCCTCAAATCCCTCAAAATCATGGACGACTGATGGCCACAGTGCTTTCCATGAAGAATTGAGGGATCTAGTGGAGACTTCTTGCCATGATGACACAATCAATTTTACAGACTCCAGGATATTGAATTGTCTTCCAGAACTGTTTCAGTGTTAGTTCAGGATCATTGGAAGTTGCCTGATGACACCTAAACATTTTCATGTACAACTTCTTGAAGTTGCTGATCACATTCTGGTCCATTGGCTGCATGATTGATATAGTGTTGGGAGGCAAAAACAACACTTTCACAAAGTCAAATTGATACTCCAAAGTTCTGGCAAGTTCAGGGTCATGACCAGGAGCATTATCCATGAGAAGAGCCTTTAAAGGGAGTTTATTGGTGGTTAGGTAGCTCTTGACAGAAGGGCAAAACACATCAACAGCCCATTCATTAAAGAGCTGTCTTGTCACCCATGCCTTACGGTTGGACTTCCAATAAACTCCAAGCTTTGTTCTTACCACTTTCTGTTGCTTGAACACCCTGGGGTTTTCAGAGTGGTAGACAAGCATAGGCTTCAGTCGGAAATCCCCTGAAGCATTGGCACCAAGCAATAGAGTGAGATGGTCTTTCATGGGTTTATGTCCAGGTAAAGAGGCTTCATCTCTGGTGATGAATGTTCTTTTGGGCATCTTTCTCCAGAACAGCCCAGTTTCGTCCACATTGAACACTTGCTGTGGAAGATAATTTTCTTCTTCCATCAGTTCTTTAAATTCCACTAAAAACTTTGCTGCCCCTTCCTTATCAGCACTAGCAGCTTCACCATATCTAACAACACTGAAAAAGTCACTTTTCTTAAATTTTTCGAACCAGCCTTTGCTGGCCCGAAAATCTTCAAATTCTGTGCCTGAAGAACAGGTTGCTCTGTCTTTAAATGTTCATAAATCTCCCTGGCTCTTTCACAAATGAATTCTTAGAAACTGAATCACCTTTCATCTGTTTTTCCCTAATCCAGACGAGAAGTAACCTCTGTTTCTGCAGTTAGGGATCTACTTTTAAACACTCTGGTAGATTTCTCTCTCACTTTCACTTCTTTAAATTTGCCTTTGTGCAAGAAGTGTCGACACAGTTGATGTCGACATGCCATATTCTTTGCATAGCTCATTTGTTCTAATGCCTTGTTCATGTTTTTTTTTATAATTTCCTGCTTGGTTTGGATTGAAATTACTTTCCTTGATCTCTTAGGCCCCATGCTGGATTCAAACAATGTCAACACGTGATTTTGTAAGTTTAAACTACTGTAGCTGTAAATAAAGAATATTTTCTTTAAAATAACACTGCACTGCGCTATATAGTCAATATGTAAAATAAATTTCAAAATGACCAATAATTTGCTTGGAAACACAGAAAAAAAAGCATTTAGTTGAAGAGTTTCAAGCAAGATGTTACCTCCACTGAAAAGACACACACTAACGCTTGTTTGGTGTGTTGAGAGGCTGGATGGCGCGCATAAAACTAGTGACTTTACCTTCAATTATGTTCAATAATTGTTAAAATGACTAAAAAATTTAATATTAAACTTTTAAAATTATTGAAGTATAAACTCCTTGATATTTACTAAAATAGTAAGGAATTTAAGCCCTAGAACCTATTACTGTATTGGCGGACTAATACTACAGCTGGTTGACTGCCAAGTGCAAGCGAAAACATGTTGAGGTCGGCTCGTAAGAAACTCGTTAACCGAAGTTAAGAATCTTATGGGAGGTACAGTAACTCGTTAACCGAGGGATCACTGTATAGCGATAACTTTTTTTTATTTCGCGAGGGAAATCGCGCAGGAAATATTTCAAAGTTATCACTACAGTATTACCAAAATTTTCCAACATACAATAGACTCGCAATTTATGAAAGGGTTACTGCCCTGGGACCTCGTGTAAAGTCAGAAACACTCCTAAATCGCCCTTAAGTCACTAAATATATATATATATATATATATATACACACACATAGTGGTCCCTTGATTAACAAACGGACCAATTAATGAAATTTTGGTAAACGAATTGGCTTCCATAAGGATTTTTTTTAGTTTACCCATTTCTTAATAAAACTGTACTCTACATTATTTTAATTAATTTCTTAAAATCCTCCAAATAATACTGTTTGTACTCTACATAAAATATTACCCTCAAGTAGCACCAAGATAATACTGGATGTACTCTACATAAAAAGTTTGTGTAAATGAGTGGAGGTAGCGAGGTGTGGCACACATACGATACATATATAAGCAGGACTCGGACTAAGGCACATTAGTTCAAGTGCACGTATGAACACACTGTCCAGACCAATGCTGGACTTTCCAGATTAAAAACAAAAAATTATGGTAAATAGAGTGGGGCAGTCCAGACCACCCCAGTCCAGAATATCAATGTTTTACTGTACTACTGAAAATATATTGGACAAGAAAAAATTTTTCAAATGATGTCCAAAGTTTTTGTAAAGTGAAACAAGTGACAGGAAGACAGTTTGGAAGGTTTCTTTATTCAGTAAGTCCTCGCTTAACGTCGTGGTTCTGTTCCTGAAAACCGAGACGTTAATGGAATAAATTTTCCCCATAAGAAATCGATAAAATACGGGAGTTATGTTCCCCAACCTCCCTTTGCCCCATAAAATACATTATGTACATAAATTCAATGGAATTTTTAGAGAAATTAGTATACAATATATTATACAACCAAAAAGATAAAACAATAATTTTGTATTGTACAGTACTCACTGATGGGTGGAGGTTGAGTGAGTGTGGGGTGGGAAGTCATGGAGATCCGGAGGGTGGCTCCTCCTCCTGCTTTGACTGGGAGAGGATGATGATGAGCCGTACAAAGTAGTCCGTGACGATGTTATACCTAATCGGCGGGACGTTGTCCGAATCATGGTTATCTAAAGAGTAGCAACGTTACAACGAAACAACGTTGTCGGGAGCAATGTTAAACGAGGACTTCTTATACATTTCCGACCTCCGAGTCTGTGTAAGCATGCCACTTGTGGCTGGTCTTTATGGAATTCATTGGCCATTTCTCACATACACTTCAAGTCCATATATATTTGCAAATGGAGATTTTTAAGCAGACCCTGCCCTGGGTGAATGCTTTAAACTACTGCTACCTTGAGAACTTAAATGCATGTGGCTATACCTTTCCAAGATCTATCTGACCACAATGGTTATGATGATACCAATATGCAAGCAGGCACCTAAAGACCATTTGATTTAAAAATATCTATTTTGTAAATGGTAACATATTTCCATGTATTCTAACTATGGTAAATCTAGAGCAATGTACTCAATACCCACATTTTACCAGTGTATGTCGGGTATTATTTCTCTATTTGGATGAAAAGACCTACAAAATTAGTCACTAAAGCCCTATTTCTAACAATATTATTCAGTACATTTGCATTAACTTGTGATCAAAAAGGGTAATTCAAAATGGGTAATGAGAGTTTACAACAAATAATTGATATATTTCTCTTATAATTTCCTGGTAATGTACACGAAGTGGTTTGACAATACTAGAGAAAATGGGAGCGATTGCCAAATAAATATAACAATATATACACTGGTTGTCTGCCAGAAAGGAGACCTTCCTCTTTTCTCATTTGTAAGACACGTCGTCTAAGTCATGATAAAATTATAAATTCCTACATTGTAGAAACATTCCTTAAAATCATCAACTAAGGACAAAATCCTGAGTACTGCTGGTGACCTCTTATATTTTGGACAATGATATATTAAGACCTATGAAGTTCAATATCTCCAGAGTAGCTCCAAGGGGTTGAATTCTATTATTCACACACTACAATATCCATTTAATATTGACAAACTGAGATGGTTCACAATGTAGTACTATTTATGACATTGAATGGTGATAAAAACTTCAAGTTACTGGGGAGGTTTGAATGCAAACTTCCTGCTCTTGAGTACTGTCCACTTGTGCCTCTTGATGTAATACGAGATGACAAAGAGGAGCGAGAACATCATCATGGACTTCAGCGCCATCTTTTTGCGCTCATCATGTTCTGGTTCTGAAGCCCACTTGAGGAAGGTGGCCACATCCTTGGCCATCTGTGATGATGTAGCAGGTGTACCATCACTGTATTCTAGTACCTGAAAGACATGTACAATTACATATATTTTATAGATAAAGAACAAACTATACTGTATAATGCTAATATTTTCTCAGGGTAATCAAAGAAATTACATCTACAGCTCCTCCCCGACTTACGAAGGGGTTAGGGACCCCAATCCACTAAGTCGAAAATGCTTAAATAATACAGAGAAAATCTAAAATGGGTGTGTCTCTTTCTTCTCAGCACCACAAAACTCTCACTTTTAAGCTTGCCAGCCATTTTAAAGTGAATTACAAACGAAAATTTTGTCAGTACACAGTGCAATCACTGACGTTAGGACTCGAAAATACGTAATTTGACAACATTTGGGTACGACTGAGGTGGTCGTAAGTCGGGGAGGAGCTGTATACAGATACAGTAATTATGTTGATTATTCAAGTTTCTTATGCAGTTTTCTTTGATTTTTTTTCTATTGACAATGCCTCTCAAAAATCCTCAACTTTTTTTTATTTTACAAGGATTAGCCCACCCGTGCACAGGCCACACTGGGGCCTGGTGGGCAATAGGGAAAGTAGGGGGAAAAAATCAATAGCAGGAAATGATATACAGTGGTCCCTTGGTTAACAAATGTCTCGGTTAACGAATTACCTTCCATAAGAATCTTCAACTCGATTAACGAAATCGTGTAAACATGTTTTCGCCTGCTCACCAGCTGGAGTATTAGTCCGCCAATACAGTAATCGGTTTTAGGGCTTAAATTCGTTACCACTTGAGAAAATATCAAGAAGGTTGTACTATTCAATAATTTTCTAAGTCTTATATTAATTTTTTTAGTTATTTTAACAATTATTTAACATAACTGAAGTACAGGGAACTAGTTTTTAGCGCGTCAAACAGCCACTAGACCCGCCCAGAATGGCATCAGTTTGTATCTCTGCTCAGTGGAGGTAGCATCTTGCTCGAGACTCTCTTGAACAAACTATTTTTACGTTTTTACAGTGCAGTGTTGATTTAAAGAAAATAATCTTGAATTACACCAATTGAACTTAAAATTTTATGGGTGAAATGGCACCATGAAGCATGGGGTGACTTCTCTTCCATCCCCACTGCCTTCTCTTCTCCCTTCTCCTCCACCCCCACTTTTAATTCCCATCATCAACCAAAAACCTTCTACATGCACACCTCAAAGTAAGTGTACTTTACTGCATTTATTTTTAGTTTGTATGTAATTTTCGGTGAGCTGGAACCAATTAACCAAAATCCTATTGAAACAATGGTTTCGGTTAACGAACGACCTTCTGGAACGAATTGAGTTCGTTAACCGAGGGACCACTGTATACATATGTTGTGCTGTCAAAGTAAGAGAAACAAATTAGACCCTGTAATTGTGTCAATGAGGTAAAAAGTCAGTCAGATCAGCAACCTGGGACTTGGTCACAAATTTTGGATACCATATGGCAGCAAGGTATACCATTAGAGAACACATTATGCTTCCAATATCTTCCCAGGTGGTAATACCTCCCTGTTTGATAACTGCCTACTACCTGTTGTTCTCCAATCCTGTATTTTCTAGAACTGTTACTCCTTTCTTCTATATATTCAAGGTTTGTCCATCTCCCTTTATTTTTTAGGACTCAATATTTCTTCAAGACCTATAACCGATGTAAAGAATTTTGTGCAATTATACATATGACTTCTAGTGGACTTAAGGACAAATGCAAATGAAGATGCTCACTACATAAAAAAAAAATATACCTGTATATGCAAATTAGAAAACATTCAATGCTATGTTATTAACAGTGGACAGGGTCAGATTCTGACTACCATTAACAATATAGTGGAACACGACTGCTACTTCAGCTACCATCATCTTGCATGCATACATTAAGGTTTACTATGAAAATGAATACCCCTGTAGTCACTTTCCTATTGCCTTATCAATCAAAACAACTAACATGCCTTCGTCCCATAAATTTACTATACATTAATCAGTTGCTCACCTCATTGTAGAGGGCCTGGGCCATGCCAATAGCACCACCAACAAAGTAAGGATTGTAGTAGAGACCCTCCCTCACTGACACACCAGCAGGGGGGTCACAGTAGCCAGTCAGCAATGAGAAGATGTAATCCTGAAACAAAATATAATATTGAAAACCTTAATAATAAAAATTAGTAAAAAAAATACCTAAAACTGTTTTTAAACTTTAATACAGTAGAATCCTGGTTATATGGAATCCATGCAACCGAAAATTCAACTAATTGGCACCAAAATGAAATAATACAAAATAAAAATTCCTCCCAAATCATCTAAAAAATTTTAAGTTTGAATACTGCATAAGCTACTACAGTATATTTATTACCACGATAAAATTGATACACAGACACCCAAGCTCTTCATTTTTCTTATTTTATAGTTTTATATTATATCTTCTTAAGTAGCAGTATGTGGAGTGCAACACATTTTGAAATTCAGATCTTTTTCAATGCATTGAGTTGATATTTTTTTTAACTCACAGGGTCAAGTATGGGATGTTTACACTCAGCAGTTTCTTGAGTCCCCCCACTGAGACAAGTAAACCTCGATAAACGACGTCTCGTTCAGCGATATTCCACTTTAATGATGGTCATGAATTAAGCCCACCTCATTATATACCATTAAAAAAAATTGCTTTAACAATATCCATTGGTTGGAAAACTTTTTTATCTCTAGTGCAAAGTATGGGTTGTATATATGCAAATTAATTGCTGTCTTGCAAGAATTCCAGCAATGCAATTATAATTATCTATGTCAAGCCAGTAACATTTTTATGGAAACAATATTTAACCCTTTGACCACTCATCTCTCGCGGTAATACCTACCTGCGAGCCGCCACACAGCCAACCCGCGCATTACAGTTCTACGCTTGGTACTTTGTCAATTGCATCACCCGCCATCGCGTAGCTCCATGATTATTGTTCATCATTTTTATTTGTATGTACAGTCTTGGATGCCTTGGTCTACCCAGACATTTCCAAAGTTACACTGCTCACTTCACAGCCACAAGAACAGACCAAAAGCACTTGTCACAAAAACAGAGCGAACAATGAAAGCGGCTGACACTGCTCACATCCTTCTCACAACAACAGAGACGAAGTACAGTCAACCCTCGCTTTACGCGGTCCCACATTCCACGTTTACGCGGTACCCTGCCGAAACCGGAATGCTCACATTCCGCGGTGCGTGTACCCCTTTACGTGGAGTGTGTCTGGCTCTACGCTATTTTTAGATTCGCCCCTCCCGCCTCCGCCTGGGCAAGCCGCGCGGTAAGGTTGCGCAGTGCATGTCTCTTGCGTTATCAGTGACATCATATGACGTATCGGACTGTGATTGGCCATGCATCCCTACCTCCCTCCGCTGCTAGCTGTAATTGGTTTAAAGTAATATGACGTGTCCACCCGGGGGGGGGAGGGAGGGAGGAAAGACGACGCTTGACCTAGCCGCGGCAGTTTCATCCCTCCAGGCCACACCGTGTAATAGTGCATCCATTGTTCGGTAAAATGGCTTCCGCCGGACCACCGCCCCCAGAGAGAAACCTTTCCTTACCTGGACCCAGCCGCCCTAAGCCAAAGAAGACACGACGTTACTTAAGCTACGAGGTGAAGTACAAGATCATCCAAGAGTTGGAGAAAGGAACAAGACAGGTTGATTAGGCGGGCCCGCATGGTGTGAACGAATCTACCATCCGGACGATAAAGAAGGATGCAGCCAAGATAAAGGAGCACATGAACATCACAAAGTCTACAGGTGCTTCTATGATCAAGTATTTCCACAACCAGGTGCTTCTCAAGACGGAAAAATTACTTGTGAGCTACTTGGTGCGTCAGGCGCGACGGAACATGGCGGTGGACACGCACTCAGTTAAGGAGTACGCACGTGAACTATGCTGCAGTGTCACGAAAAATGGGAATTACAGAGCCCAAACCCTTTAATACTTCCTCTGGGTGGTTACAGAGGTTTAAGAAGAGAAACAAGATCACCAATATCAACATTGGTGGTGAAGAAGCTAGTGCTGACTGTGTTGCGGCTAGGGAATTTCCTCCGTTTTTACGTGAGACCTTCGTTGTGAAGAATGCCAGCAAGATTCGGGGCCGGAAGTTGCAGAAGGAGCGCATCACCGTCCGGTTTACCACCAATGCCTCCAGTACCTGTAAGCTCAAGTTATCGGTGATCCACACAGCACGCAAGCCTAAAAGAGCATGGACATGACCAAGCTAAATGTCCACTGGCTGACCGCACGTAAGGCGTGGATATTCTCTACACTGTCCCTCTCCTGGTTTGATGACTGTTTCGTTCCCGATGTGAAGAAATTCTGTGAGCAACAGAATGTGCCATTCAAGATTTTGTTGCTGCTGGACAATGCACCAGGACACTCACCCCTACTGTTAGATCGTCACCCCAACGTAAAAGTGGTCTTCCTTCCTCCCAACACTACGTCTATATTACAGCCCATGGACCAAGAGTTAATCTGTAATGTAAAAGCTGCATTCTCTACTAAAAAATTCAAGCTCCTGAACGACTACACCAACACCAGGGAAGAGTTGCGTAACCTGAGTGACACCACCACCGATAGCAAGAGCGAAGACGACGAGGATCAACAGTTGGCAGAGCAACAAGTACTTTTAAAACAATTCTGGAGAATATTCAACATCATGAAAGCTGTGGACTTCTTGGTGGAGGCATGGGATCAGCTGTCTGTAGCAACTGTTCGTCACGCATGGAGACATGTGTTGCAAGGCATTCCGGCCGTTAGGCAGAGTCAATCTGTGACTGGTGAGGTTCAGACTGTTGCAGTAGCAGTGGACCTTGCCAGAGAAGCTGCGCAAAGTGTTACAGCTGCAGGCTTCTCCGAGACCACCAACGACGACATCCTGGAGGTGATAAGGGATCCTGATGTGACTACCGACGAGATGGTAGATGATGATGACGTCAGTGAAGAGGCAGGTGGTGCGTCATCCCAAGAACAACACCGCTTATCCCATAGTAATGTTAGGGGTGCCATCGAGTGTATCGAGAAAGTCAAGCTCCTCCTTTCCGACGCCCCTGACGCAAACAGGTATGAAATCTTCACTACCCAGCTGTTGCAGACTATGGAGCCCGACATCAAGGTTTATCACGACAACATAAACACCAGCCGTCAGCAAAGCATAACAGAGTTCTTCGCCCGCAACCCACTACAGCCAGCCCAAGCCAGTGATAGTGACAGAGGTAGAAACAGTGATGATGACTTCAAGGGATTTGTCAGGGAGGCCCTGACAAGTGTGGATGACAGTGATGGTGACTCACCTGAGGGCCAGTAGTCTGCCCTCTGCCGCGGAACCAGCCTCCATTCCCGTACGCCGACCCATCTCTTCTACTAACGTAAGTGTTAACCCCAACCTTTATTTTTCCTAACCTAACCTCTTCTATATTAATTGTGTGTGCATACCATCATAAAGTTAAGATAATATTTTTACTACAACATAGTTGTGTGTCGTCAAAAAGTGGAGTTTGGGGGTCGGCCCGGTCTCTATTTCAATTAATCCCATATGTTATGTTGTTCACTTTACGCGGGCCGCCGAGGGTTGAATTAACTGCGTAAATTGAGGGTTGACTGTACCTTAGTCACAGCAACACAGAAAATATTGCTTCAGTCACCATGAAAGTACCTGTACAATGTACAGTCTTGTTCAAGATTCTTCTAACACTGCTGGAGACAGCTGGTAACTCATGGCCGTTTGTTTACTATAGTACATAGTAAAAATTATGAATGAATGTAAAAGGTTATCGGTTACTTAGTTCCCTGTTGCTTAATTAGGGGTTGGGCTTTGTCGTTTCGTATTATATTATACTACGTACTATAGTAAATAAACGGACTGAGTTGCCAGCTGTCTCCAGAAGTGTTCGAAGAATCTTGAACGATACTGTACAATGTACAGATAATTTCATAGTGACTGTGAAGCAATATTTTCTGTGTTGCTGTGACTAAAGTACTTCGTCTCTGTTGCTGTGAGAAGGATGTGAGCAGTGTCAGCCGCTTTCATTGTTCGCTCTGTTTTTGTGACAAGTGCTTTTGGTCTGTTCTTGTGGTTGTGAAGTGAGCAGTGTAACTTTAGAAACGTCTGGGAAAACCAAGGCATCCAAGACAACCGTGTCTCTGAGGTGAAGCTTGACACTGTGAAGCAGCATGAGACTCCCCAGAGGCTATGTGGGAGTCAGAATGATGTCTCCACTCCACCTTAGACTCAAAAGGGCATGTGATGATGACCAGGCTTATTTTTTCACGATGTGGTGAGTGTTGTTTAACTGTATTCTATTGATTTTATAGGCATAGGAATTTTTTTGTCGGTGATACATGTGTGCTTGGGGACTGCTGAGAATGTATCCCATTGAACCCCATGCTATAATGCTCCCTATCTACAATATTTCACTTAGCGATGGATTTTTCATGAACCTAACCCCATCATTTATCGAGGTTTGCCTGTACATATTTAAAATTATGAATGAATGCGAATGTGTTAAAGTTAGATGTACCTACTTATCACTGAAATATTCAAGATCCATTGAGTGATGTTGAAAGCTTCAACTATATTGTAATTACTTTCAGTGAAACTGTCGAATAAGTCAAGTGTTGGGGTAAGCAAGAGAGGTTAGAATCCCTTTTCAACCCCATGAAACTGGCGGCCAAACTAATGTAAGTAATGGACTCGTATTTGGTTTCTACATTTTTCGACATAATGTACTGAACTATCTTTTAATCCACAAGAGTTCAAATGATATTCAGGTAAAAACAATACACGCTTTTTTGCGCACTGGGGGGTTGATCGGCAAATCACTCTACCGCAGTTAACGGGTTAAGGTCTCCACAGTTTGGAACGAAGAACTAAATTACTAACATACCTCTCCACCGTGTCTGGCTGATGTGATGTAAGACAGATCTGGAGGCAAAGCACCATTGTTGGCAGCACGGGCAGCTTCGTCATTGACATAGGGATTAGGGAAATAGTCAGATAGCTTGCCTGGCCTCTCAAACATATGACCTTCATCATCAGGACCATCAGGAATCTAAAAATATTGAATAAGAGAATAGAAAACAAACATTCTTACAAGGTATTGGTGATGCTTTTTTTATTTTACTGTGACCATTATGCATAAATTGCCAAAAGTTTATAAACCATACCACCTACCTTTCTTATGTAGTTCAAACAACAATTGTATACAATTAACATGAAAAAAATGCAGTTAAAACCATAAAGGAAAAGCAAAATAAAAATTTAACAGATGCCATGCATAATTATTTCTTTTAAAGTACAGTACACAGTACTTTTTTTTTCACATTATGTTTGTAGGATTGTTTGTGCATGTATGTAACTAACCATGTGTATTTTTTTTTACATACAGTGGTCCCTCGGTTAACGAATTACCTTCCATAAAAATCTTCAATTCGGTTAACGAAAAAAAATTCGATTAACAAAATCCTTACGAATATCACATTTTGTTTTGAACATCAGCTGATGAGGTACTCAGCCAATTCAGTGATCTCTTCTGTTTACATTCAAATTAATCACCATCTTATAAGAATTCCAGCAATGCAAATTGAATTCACCCCGGTCACTTCTATTAAATTTTATAAGCAAAAAAACAAAAACTCAATCTAAAGGACATAAATTAACACTTAAATACTTCACACCACAGGTGCCAACTGTCAAACGTGTCACTGTCCCCCCCTCCCTACCCCCCACCTTCCCAAGAAACGTATGGGGGAAAAGCACTAGGCTTACAGGTTTAATCATATATAATATCTCAGACTAAAGTTACGAGAATATAATTGGTATTGCTGGAATCATTGCAAGACAGCGAATAACTTTAATATAAACGTCATATATTTTGCACAAAAGACAAAATTTTTGCTCTAATAAAATTCTTAAATTAGATCTAAAATTTGAATGTTTATTGCAAATTATAGCTTGTTTATATTCAAATTAATCACTATCTTATAAGAATTCCAGCAATGTAAATTAAATTCTGGCCGGTTATTTATATAAAATTTTATGAGCAATATTAAATAAATAAATAAAATACTTTACCAGACCTTCCCACTAACTGTCACTGAACTTCCTCTTCCCGAGAAATGTTTGGGGAAAAGCACTAGGCTCACAGGTTTAATAATAAATAATACCTCAGACTAATGTTAGGAGAATATAATTGGCATTACTGGATTCCTTGCACGACAGCGAATAATTTAAATATAAACGTCATATATTTTGCACAAAAGATAAAATTTTTGCTCTCTATAATAAAATTCTTAAATTAGATCTAAAATTTGTATGTCTAATGCAAATTTTAGCTTGTTTATATTCAAATTAATCACTATCTTATAAGAATTCCAGCAATGTAAATTATATTCTGCCAGGGTAATTTCTATGAATTTTATAAGCTAAAAACAAAAATCTCCAGTAAATAAACAAATTATACTTCACCAGACACTATCTGTCAATCAAAATACACCTCACCTCCTCTTCCCACACTCACTGGCTCCCGCCCTACCACCTGCCTTCCCAGACAAAAGTTTCGTGTTTTCTTTAGGCTTATCTTATATAATATCTCTGACTAAAATTAGGAGAATATAATATGCATTGCTGAAATCCTTGCAAGACAGCGAATAATTTGAACATACACGTCATATATTTTGCACACGAGATAAAATTAATCACCTGTATCACATTACAGTAGTGATTTAAGAGTTCTAATGTACGATATATATAGTGATTTAAGGGCGATTTAGGGGAATTTTAGGAGTGTTTCTGACTTTAAGCATTTTTGGCTTTACTTTGTATATACTTTTCTGTGAGCTGGAACCAATTACCAAATATCCCATTGAAACAATGGTTTCGGTTAACGAACGACCTTCTGGAACAAAACGAGGGACCACTGTATAGCTAACCAACACCGAGTTAAAAATTACCATAACACCCCACAGTGCAGTAAGCATGTCCTGGGTAGCTGTTGTTCACCGTAATGTAAATGACCCATGGAATGAATGAATTTTAACCCCTCAAAAATACTATACACTTATAGTTTGATCCCTAACTTTTTGCATGAAAATTTGATAATAAAATCATACTGTACTCAAGTATATACGATATACTGTACACATCCACATCATACACATTCGTCAGGACTCGGGAACCTTAAAAATCTTCTCTGCGGCTCTGAAAGCTTCTTGAACTACCGTATTTGCCGGCATATAAGACGCACCCCCTATTTTACAAGGATATTTTGTGGAAATTTTTTTTGTATGTTTCATCATACAATTATTGAAAGTGATTTTAAAGTGGTTTTGTAGGGGAAAACATATGATTTTGTGCATGTAAATACAATATACGATACTGGAGTCAAGTTGGTAATCATATCTAGTAACATTATAGTAACTCAACTCTACCTCTGATCAGAGCAGCTGTGTGGCTTGTTTAATCTTTGTAGGGGCATTTTTCATTTAGATAATAAACAACTGTTTCTTTAAGATAACACAGTCGTTAAATAATTAATGTAAGACATGTATCTGGTGTGGGTTACGTATGCTGGGGAAGGAGGTACAGTGACATCATGTGAGCTTCCCTCTGCTGTTAAGCCAATTAAGCCATTATTTACGTCTGGCACATTTGCCGTAAGTGTGATATTTTGGCTTATTTTTCAGTATTTTATTAATAGCAACAATTTTTGTGCTTGGTGGATTACTGCTCGTCCCAGACCCCCTAGCTAGGCATCCCCGCCTACGGCGCTCGGCCTCCCATCCATAATATGGGTGCATTAGACACAGGGTAATTTGGGATACATTTAAAAAATAAATTAAATGCGTCTTATACGCCGGCAAATACGGTAATTTATTAGGAGATTAAATAATCCAATCTATGTTAGTGTAATATCCAGGCTATTAGTTTGAACAGTTGTGCCTCCCTACTAATATGGACGTCTGAATAATGGATTCCGTCTGATTAATGACATTGCTGTGGCTTAATTACTGTACTCCAGTACTCTGGGTTTATACTGTACCTGGTAGTTGTAATAATTATAGCAGTTGCTTCCAATTCCAATAAATTTATTGTCACTTACTAATGTTTTAAAACTAAATTTTCATTCAATCACTTCTGGCCTGTTGGACTAGTGGATAATTGATAGATTCTGCAGGCCTTTTCACAGTACGTACAGTATATAAAAAATACCTGTACACCCAGGGCTTCTTCCTTTGCTTCTGCTTCCGTGTGGGAAACACCAATCAGGTTACGGAAGGCGATGTACTTCATGGAGTGGCAAGCAGCACACACATTCTTGTACACCTGCCAACAAATAAGTAACATATGATAAAACAAGGACTGCATCCTAAGGTTGAGGGGGGTGCAAATGAGTGATTCAGGTTTCCAGCACATCTCTCTCAACAGCACCCACCTTACTGCCCAAAACAGTGGCAATGAGTACTGGTATAGCTAACCAGCTCTCCCAGTCACACCTGGGATCTGAAGATAACGTGACGTATTCCATCACAAACGAGAAACAAAAAACTATGAATCGACTGACCCTCCAATCTGAAACTGTGCATTTAAACTGGATACTTTGCTATTTCTTCAAAGCAAGGCCCCCCACTGCATACTCACTTTGGGATAAAAATCACACAATAAATATGACCAAATATAACTCACCTCATAGCCACGGCGAATGGATGCATGGTCAAAGGAGGAAAATATGCCATCGTGGGGCCAGGGGAAATGAGAGGTGTGTAGCTCAAGTTCTGAGGCCTTCACTGACTCATTGAGGGCATAAGCCACTCCAGCAGCACCCCCTCCTAGCACACCCATAGCTGCCAAAACCTGAAATTTGATCCTAGAAATATTACCAGAATCAAAATCAATGCTGGTTCCTTAAAAATACTGATAAATCTTTACAACAAAACCTCTATATTGCATCACCAAATTATGTACAGAATTACTTATGAACAGGTGTTATATCCAATCTCTCACTACTTTATGCATAAATGATCAGCAATACCTGTAATGTATTTATGAATCTATAACAAAATATTTCAAACACTTACAGCTTTTCGTGTTGCTGCCATCTCTCTCAGTGTTGAAAACTTCACTCTCGGCTGTATAAAAGGAAAATTAATAAAGTACAATGAGCTACAAGACAAATGTGAATACCTGCACAGTACCCCATTAGAGCTGCTGTAATCAGTGTTGCAGTGCCAATTTTTAAGGTGTCGGAGCTGTCAGAATAATTTCCGTTTCCTAAACCGTACCTATTGATGCATATAATATATATATATATACAGCTAGACCCCGACTTACGACTGCTACGACTTACGACCGCCGCAGATTTTTTATTAAAAAAAAAAAAATTTCCCAAATGACGCACGCATTTTCTATACCGAAACGTTTCCAGTTAATGTAGTCTCCATGTATAATTATAAAATTATGGGGGCCCCATGTGCATTCAGCAGACTACATTAAAGGTAAGTGCTCAGTCACACTGTATCCATTCCTTATTATTTATTACTTTCACTGTACTGTATCCATTCCTCATTACTTTTACTGTACTGTATTTCATTGTAGATTTTTATTTAAAAAAAAAAAAAAAAACAGACTTTCTGACCTGGATTTGGGTCCCTAACCCCGTAGTAAGTCGGGGTCTCATTGTGTGTATATATATATATATATATATATATATATATATATATATATATATATATATATATATATATATATATATATATATATATATATATACATACATACATACATACATACATACATACATACATACATACATACATACATACATACATACATACATACATATATATATATATATATATATATATATATATATATATATATATATATATATATATATATATATAAACATACATATATATATATATATACAATCAAGACCTCACCAGCCAGGATTCAAACCGTTTTATCGGAAATTATCATGTAAATAGATAAGAAATTACCATTGCAATAAATATATTTGCCAACTAGTCATTATCCTGACAGCTCTGTCCTCTTGTTCAACCTTAATACTGTACAACCCATGTTGTACTGCTTCCCCATTATATTTGTTTTTCAATTCCACTGTAATTTATGTACATACAGTAGAAGTCCAAAAATCCGGACTGCTTTGGGATTGGGTCGGTCCAGATTTTCGGATTTTCCGGATTCTCAGGCAGTACTTTTAAAATTCAAATTTAAGGAGGAATAAAAAAGTGATGAACAGGTACATTTTGATAAATTATTCATTAGCAAAGATAGCATGTTTCATTTATCAAAATGAGCATTTTTAAAGAAAAAGCTGTGAATTCTAGAATTTTATTCTTTGCCTGTTTTATATCATAAATTGTAGACTTTCCAATGTCGTATGTTTCCCTTATTACAGTATTGCTCACACCACATTCTAGTTTCTTAATTATTTCAAGTTTGTCATTCAATTTCAACGTGTTCTTCTTTCTCTTCGCACAACGAAGTTTATCTACTTTAGGAGCCATTATTATGGGCTTGTACAGTACTCTGTAAATGTTAAGAGTAGGACTCAAAATTACATACGTTGTCACAGTTTGATTGCTCGTTTTAAAGTGGTGACCACGTGGTCGCTTGTTGTCGCTGTGCAGCTGTGGCGCTCACGCATGCACACATACACACAAAAGACAGCTAAAAAAAAAAAAAAAAAATTGAGTTTTCGAAAAGTCCGGATTCTCGGGTGGTCCGGATTTCTGGCATCCGGATTTTTGGACTTTTGCTGTACTTGTAATAAAAAAAAAATTATTAAATGAAATAAATATATATTGAAGTGATAACCGTGGTAACATCCTGAGATGTTCTTATTACCACCATGCTATGTGTACTATCCCAGATGTTACTAAATGTTACATAATACTTCCTTGAGATAAATGTACAGTACTGCATATATCAGGTGCCTACAGGAGAGCTCAGGTTCTCAAGTGGCTCAGCCATGTTAATATTGCTATTATTATCCACTCAGTATCTGTGTTTTTCTTGCTAAATAAACTGTTCAATTCAATTCACATTCAAGGAGGTATGGACATGTACCGAGGATGCGTGAAGACAGGATGATAAAAAAAAAAAAAAAATTATGATAGCAAGAGAGGAGAATGTGGTGAGGGGTAGACCAATTGCCACCTGGGAGAAGAGTGTTTGTTGAAGAGAGAGCGGGAAGGAGAGGAAGAGTGCTTGAGAGACCAAGTGAGGTCTGCAAGGATTAAATGGCCTGGAGACATTTCTGCCATGGCCACCCCGTTGGGAAGTTCCTGGGAGGGAACAAGGCGTCGGCGATATTGATTGATTGATCAAAACAGAGGTGAACTTTCACATGATCATACACGGTGAATATTTACTGTATTGGCATAATTAACCTGATGAATGGCGGACATGACTGTACACTGTACATTTACTGTATAGAAGGCAGGTACCAAACAGGGAGGTGCTACTGCCTGGGAAGATATTGGAAACATAATGTATTGTCTAATGGTAGACCCTGCTGCCAGATGGCAACACAAAAATTGTGACCAAGTCGCAGGTTGCTGATCTGACTTTCTGCTTCATTTAAACACAATTGCATGGTCTCAATTGTTTCTCTTACTATTGACAACACAACATACATATATTGTTTCTCACTTTTGACTTTTTTTCATTTTTGTACAGTATTTATTTAAGGTACTTTGTTATTATTCTTATAATTTTTAGTTGATTTTATTTTAAATTTTGTATTTTATATTATAATTTTATTTACTATGAATTATTATTATTAAAATTATTGCATTTTTGCCCTCCAGGCCCCGATGTCTAACAAATTTGCTGACGTTTTTTAGGAAAGTCTTCGAGGTTGTAGTTAATGACGAAAATTACGATGTTATTTACTTAGACTTTAGCAAAGCGTTTGACAGAGTACCGCATCAGAGGCTTCTGAGAAAAGTTAAAGCTCATGGTATCGAGGGGAAAGTTTTAAATTGGATAAAATCATGGCTCACCGATAGAACACAGAGGGTCAGCATAGATGGTATTAAATTTGAGTGGGGCTGTGTAACCAGTGGGGTTCCCCAGGGGTCAGTACTGGGCCCACTCTTGTTCATAATCTACATAGACGATCTAGATACTGGGATCAGCAGTGATATAAGCAAGTTTGCGGATGACACCAAAATAGGGCGGCAGATTAATTCAGGGCAGGATGCAAATGCACTACAAGAGGATATAAATAAACTGCAGGAGTGGTCAGAAAAATGGCAAATGAAATTCAACACCAGCAAGTGCAACGTACTTAATATTGGAAGAACAAATACTGTCAATGTATACAGCCTTAACAACATCAACCTAGAGAAGTCGACTTGTGAGAGAGATTTCGGGGTACTTGTAAGCCCGGACCTACGGCCTAGAAAACAGTGCGTTAATGCTCGAAATAAGGCAAACAGAGTACAGTGGTCCCTCGGTTAACGAACACAAATCGTTCCAGAAGGTCATTCGTTAACCGAAACTATTGTTTCAATGGGATTTTGGGTAATTGGTTCCAGCTCACCAAAAATTACACACAAACTAAAAATAAATGCAGCAAAGTACTCTTACTTTGAGGTGTGCATGTAGAAGGCTCCTGGTTGATGATGATGATGGGAATTAGAATGGGGGTGGAAGAAAAGGGAGAAGAGAAGGCATTGGGGTGGAAGAGAAGTCACCCATGTTGCCATTTCACCCATAAAATTTTAGTTCACTTGGTGTAATTCAAGATTATTTTCTTTAAATCAACACTGCACTGCATTATATATTATCAATATGTAAAATAAAATTCAGAATGACCAATAATTGTACTGTAAAAACATAAAAATAGTTTATGCTCAAGAGTCTCAAGCAAGATGCTTCCTCCACTGAGCAGGGACACACACTGACGCCATTTTGGGTGAGTCAAGTGGCTGTTTCGCGCACTAAAAACTAGTTCCCTGTACTTCAATTATGTTAAATAATTGTTAAAATGACTAAAAACTTTAATATAAGACTTGGAAAATTATTGAATAGTACAACCTTCTTGATATTTACTCAAATGGTAACGAATTTAAGCCCTAAAACCGATTACTGTATTGGCGGACTAATACTACAGCTGGTGAGCAGGCAAAAGCAGGCGAAAACATGTGAAAAATTCGTAAGGAATTCGTTAACTGAAAATTTTTCGTTAACCAAAGTGAAGAATCTTATGGAAGGTAATTCGTTAACCGAGGATCACTGTATTAGGCCGCACCTCGATTATGCGGTTCAGTTCTGGTGCCCTTATTATAGAATAGATATCAATTCACTGGAGTTGGTGCAATGAAGAATGACGAAAATGATTCCGGGACTTAAGAATCTTTCCATATAAAGACAGGTTAAAGAAACTAAACTTGCATTCCCAAGGAAGACGAAGAGTGGGAGGAGATATGATAGAAGTATTTAAGTGGGTGAAAGGAATCAATAAAGGAGATATAGATAAAGTTCTTATAATATCCGAGCAGGATAGGACTCGTAGCAACGGATTTAAGTTGGATAAGTTTCGGTTTAGGAGGGAGATAGGAAGGAACTGGTTCACAAATAAGGTAGTGGACGATGTGGAACAAGCTTAGCAACTTTGTAGCAAGTGCTGGAACGCTGGAAAGTTTTAAAAGGAGGCTAGATAGATTCATGGATGATAGAGAGTGGTAATAACTCTCGACAGGAGCTGCCATGCACAGGCCAACCGGCCAATTGCAGACTCCTTATTTTCTTATGTGGGTCAGTGACCTGTGCCCGGGTGGGCTAATCCCCATCATAAAAAAAAAGCATCAGAAGTCGCATACAGTAGAGGTCATGGGGTCGCTGGAGTCACCTAAATCTTGCAGTGTCACATGCGATTTTTTTTTAGTCCAGGTGTCAAGGAGTAAAGGACATAGCTGACAGGTGCTGACGTCTTGTCAGCATCATAAATTATGGTCAAGAGATTAATGCAGTTACTCTCCTTGTGTCAAGTCAGATCAGTCCAGGTCAGGCTTGCTCTGATGGCACGTCTTGCAGCAGAAGTTCCACACTCCTACCGTACCAAGGATGCAGACAGAAAATGGCAGTAAATTTCTAC